GGCAAGGCTTTTAAAGTTTAAATCTTTTGGCAAAGATAAAGTAAAGAAGATCCTGCAATTTATGGAAGTAAAGCAGAATAAAATCCAGCAAGATCAGTAATATGTCAATTAATTATCTGCCACATTCCCATGTAAATATCTGTCTTTGGAGGATGTGTTTTTTAGCACCCCTAGTTCTCTCATTTTTATTCCAAATACAATTTATAATTTGAATCACAGGGCTATTTTTATCTCTATGGTTAAGTATTCTCTCAAGGAGCAACTTTAACTGCTATACTTTCCTGTCTTAAAAGGCAGAACTCTTCTAGTCTAAAAAAAACCCTCATTTGTTGAAATGGGGGGAACTGTTGTTTGAACCCCTTAGTGGCCTTTAAAAACAAAAATGTCTTTTTTTGCGCTTTATGAAACAAAGTACCCTATATTTTGTGGATGTACAGCTAAATTTCTCATGTAAGTTTGCGTAGTTTTAACACAAACATTCATTTTTCATATTAAACCAGTGCAGTTAATGAGCAACCTGTACGTGTGTGCTTGTTTGTTCTGTCTAAAATGTTTATTTTGGAATAAAGAGGTTTTGTCCGATTCATCGATTAATCGAAAAAATAATCGGCCAATTCATCGACTTTTAAAATAATCGTTAGTTGCAGCCCTAACAGAATTAATATAATGGGTAATTATGAGTTAATGCAATTTTATTTCCATAACATATTTTTTGTTCTGCAGTTATAGTATTTATTTTTTGTTCACATGCATAAAGGTTTCTATTAAGCATGATGATGGAAACCTTTTCTTATCCTTTTTTTTTTCTATTAAGCTTATGAGGACAAACAGCACAGCAAGCGGAAGGAGATCGCCACACGTTCATGGTTTAATACATCGTCCACGCCAGCAGGGGGTGCTGCAGGCAGTCTGCTCTATAAGCTGAGCCTGCAGGGGAAAGAAGCTGCTGTGGCTAAAGCCCTTGGTTCCTCCCAGAGTCCCTTAATTCGCAGACGCTCCAGTGCATCTAAGGCTAAAATTGAACAGTGCGACGTCAGGAACCAGGAAGAGTCTGAACGGAAAGAGGACACATGTGAAAAAGAACTTGTAACACAGACGGATAAAACTCAACTTGCATCAATACATGAAGTGGAGAAGGCATCAGTGAAAAATGTCTCTAGCTCAAATGAGCAGTTTGTGAAAGACACAGAACAAGGACTGACTAATGTAGTGGACGGTGGGAGGGAGAAGGACTCAGCCAAATGCTCTGGAGGAGTCACATCTTTGGTCGCCGACTACAGCGACTCAGATTCTGATTCTTGACTTGGCTTGGATAATAAACCATATGGAATTTTTTGCTCCTGAGGAACAAAAATTAAAAAAATTCTAAACAAAATATAGAAGTCTGCTTTAAAACATTGCTTTTCTCTTTAATTAGATTCCTTTCAAAGTAAAATGTCCTCTAAAAAGAAAATGTAAACCTTGGTCATCATCTTAATTAATTTTCCTTGTCATATAATACATATGTAAATATTTTGTCAAATCTTTCTGTCAGAGATTAAACTATTGTTAAGTTTGTGTTTTCTTTCTTTTCAGAAGAAAGCTTCCTCTTTATTAGAACTTTGCTTCAGCATTAAAAATTAAAAGGTACCCAGTGGCAGCACTAGGGGGTGCTACAGTTACACTTGAAAAACAGCACCTCTAAGAAGGATATAAATTAATACATTTTCATCAAAGTTCAGATTCTTGAATATGTGGTTGTGATCATTTCCTCAAAAACACAACCAGTTCAATTTAGAAATTAATTGTATATTTAAAAAATGTTTAAATGCATAAAGAACTTAACTTCACTTAGCGGTTTGACTTAACCTGAAAATAGGATGTGGGGCGAACAGTCATCCAGTCCAACCATTGCAGAGAGCTTTCCATGTAAAATACATGGCCTACATTTGTCACGTTTGTGCTTTTACATTTCTATTATTGCTTATACTTTATTTTGGCCCCCTTTGAATTTTGTTTTTTTGGCTAAGTGTTTTTTTTCTCATATCTCATACAATACTTTTCTTAATTTCTAAACAATACAAGAACAAATATAAATAAAAATCACTTGGGGCATATAATTTAACTTATAGGTAATTAGAATTTTGATTTATTAATAAACTTACATCTTCACCGGATGTTACAGATGAATTCACAATAAAATACCTGCATATTGATTTCCCCGATCTTGGTTAACAAAATACAGTGAATTGATTTTGACTGTTAATATCCTGCACTATACTATATACACTTTTTTTTTTTAGATTTTTTATATGCTTTAATAGAACAGCAGAACATAAAACATTTTTTATCCACCTTATTGTCGACTTTAGATGATTTAAAAGTAGTGAGCGTACCTCTTTTTATTGCTTTAGTGTGCATTAAAACATGCCAGAACAAAGGATCCTTCATAGCACCCTCAGTTCAGTGCTCAGCCCACCTTTAGCAGCTGGAGAGAGAAAAATCACTGGAGATAATTGACAGGATTTCTTAGGTTTAATTTCCCCAGTATTATCTTTTATGATAGATCCAAAATATGCACAATGCATTTCTCACACAGATACTTTACCACAATTTTATTTTTCTCAATGGATACAATGGTTCATGAAGACAAACAAAAACATGACAGTTACGTTTTAACTGTATTCAAATTGACTGCAGATTAAAGGTCAACAGCTGTTCAATGTTAATAAGATGAAATGTTGAGAAAAGTAAAGTTAAAATCATACAAGGGGAGATCATGTCTGTACAATAATAAAAAATACTGTCCTTTTTAAAAAAAAAAATTAACAGAAAGATTCATGCAATCTCCTTTTCAGATATCTATGAGAGGCTTCAAGTATGTGGGCGTTTTTGTTACACCTGATCCGAACAATCTTTTTGAAACAAATTACTCACCTTTAATTCAGAAGATAAAGAATGATTTGATACAATGGACTCCCCTGCCAACCTCTTTATTAGGGAGAATCAATACTATAAAAATGAACTATTTATATCAGAATCTTCCCTGCTATTTATCACCTGCACACTTCAAATTACTAAATTCTCATTTATCTCGCTTCGTCTGGAACAATAAAAATCCAAGAGTCAGGTTTTTCTATATTGACTAAGCCAAATCATCTCAGAGGTTTGTCATTGCCATCCTTGCATCTTTATTATTGGTCAGCACAACTTAAAACCATACCAAATTGGTTTATGAATAGACAGAACTCTTTATGGCTAGATTTTGAATGCCGATCTTGTCTCCCCAGTAAACTTAATTCTCATTTTTTTTATAAGTGATATAGACCAAATAGTCCATCTCAGAAGTAACTTCATTGTTTATAATACCTTACTGGCCTGGCGAGATGTGAAGAAATATCTAAATATCTCTCCCACCCTCTCTTATCGGTCACCGTTAACATGGAACCCAGATTTACCGGCAGACATTAGGAGCATGGTCATCTAAGGGACTGTCAAATATTATGGACATACTGGACTCTGATTCTGTTAAACCCTTTGAACAAATTAAAGCCAATTTCAATATTTCTAATAGGGATTTCAATAAATACCTATGGATCCATTATTTTGTGAGTTCTCTCTTAAGGACAGGAAAACTAATCAAAAAATTGTCAGAGTTAGAGAATATTGTTGTCATGACCAAATCTCCTAAAGGACTCATCTCTAAGATTTATAGTTTATTGTCGGGATCTGACTCCTCAGGTTATGATGCTATGAAGCTGGTCTGGGAGTGTGACCTAGGGTTGATGTTTGATCTAGCAGATTGGAAAGAAATCTGTAATGGGTTCTTCCCCAACTGTACCTCAATCTCTATACATGAGCAGAACTTTAAATTCTTTTACCAAACTTACTATACACCTGTTCGCCTTTGGAGGATGTTTCTTGATGTTTCAGATATTTGTCATAAATGCAAAATAAATAGGGGGACTTTTATTCATTTATTTTGGTCTTGCAATTGTATTAAAATTTTTTGGAAAGCGTTTCATGTTATGATACAAGAGATCATTGGTAAACAGCTCTCACTTACTCCCTCCTTCTGTCTTTTTAATCATGCTTCAGACACTCTACTTAATGCAGATACTAAAGGTTTGCTTGTAATTCTCTTATTTCTGGCCAAGAAATGTATATTACTGAGATGGTCAGCACCTCAGGTCCCTACAGTTGATATGTGGATATCACAAATTTACTGTAAACTATTATCACAGTTGAAAAACTGACCCATGATCTTCATCAAAAGTCTGACAAATTCCGGAGGATCTGGAACCCACTGCAATCTTTCTTACAGAGAATGTTAAAAAAAAAATTTTCAGTATTTTTTTTGTCATCTTCCCTTCTTTTTTTTACATTCAGTATATTATTCATGTGGCTGTCCACCGGTTTCAGCTATGTTGAACCATGACTGTCGATGTCTGTTTGTATTTTGTGTGTGTAAGCTGTATGTAGGCTTTTTTTTTGTTTGTTTTATTTATATATGGACACTGCAATGCTCCCTGTTGGTTTGGGGTGGGCTGTTTTTGTTCACTTTTGTTAATGTTTACATAAAGTCGTGAAAATCAATAAAAAAATAATAACGATTTTGCTATTATTGAGAATCAAAGATCCAGTTAGCAGTGGAAGGCTCAATTAAACAGATCAGGTAAAAGTGCCTGTATGTTTTAATTTTTTCCAGTAACATATAACATATTTTCATCTTGTCTTGCATATACAGGTATTACCAGTAATAAGAGCAGTTGGGGTTAAAAATGATTTGAAAATCCAATTGTTTCCTTTTTTTTAAATCCAATAACTGTTTCCAAGCTTATGTGAAAAATGGGAAACTAACCCTTAAAACACACCAGTATTTGGTCATCTCTGAAGTGACTCTTTCACAACATACCTTTGGCCAAGCTCAAAGGCTGCTGTGTTTTTTGTTTGTTTACCTGTGATTGGACACTGGCACCCCCTTTCTGGTAAGTTGTGTTTATAATGAAGGAAACCTCTTCAAATATTTGTTCAGCACCGTTTCTGACCACAGTCCAGTGAAGCCTCTCATACAATCATCATGGTTGTGTGGAAGCTACACATTTTATTTTTCCTTCCTTTCTGTTTTTGCTCTTTATCAGACATAACCAATTTTAGAAGACGGTAAGAGTTTCATTTCCCAGTAATGTCTGATTTACATCAGTTGTATTTCCACTGCTAATCAAACTTTTGTCCATTACAGCCCCTCACGTCAAAGGTATGTGTGTTTCCAAACACCAGGATATGTGAACTGTTGCAACATTAAAATTTTCTGACAGCTTCAGGGAACATTTGATTCATGTTCTTTAGATTTGTGCCAATTGGAAGATATTGGGACCTCAATGAGTGAGTAATTAAAGGTGGTTTATATGAGTGCAATCTATAAACACTATATTAAAGAAACTGTTAATATGACACCACTGAGTGTATTAAGTTTGTTTAAACTGCTATATTTTTTATATTTGATTATATTTTCCATATAATTTACCAGTAAGAGTAGCTTTCTTGCTATTTTTTCTTTTTTTTTTTTTATGATGCATTTAATGATAGAACATATTGCTATATTGTTGCCCATAGTAAGACAAACTACACAATAATTTTTTTGTTTGTTTTTATATTTGAACAATATATGCAGTACAAAACTTTCTTTTTTTTTTTTTCAAAAACTGTCATACCTAAAATAACTTCTTCTCTGATGCGTTTGCAGGGAATTTGACACAAAGAGACCTGTCAGTTCTTCACAGAGGTAAAGTACAGTTGCTTTGCAATAAACGACAAAACAGATTAATCAAGTTGTAACACTGAAAATTTGAGTCTTATCACTGCATTCAAATTTGCATATGTTAGATCATATAAACAAATGGTAAATAATATGAATTTTTGAAAGTCAGTTTGAAGAATAAAAAAAACATTCAAAGGTTCATTTCTTTAACTTTTCTCAAATTACAGATTTGATAAAAATCTCTCTCTGTCTACGCACACAAACTGTCACACACCCACACACACGTTTCATCACTTTCCATTGACTTTTATTCATTTCCAACTCACTTCTATGTCCTAAGTTAGACCCTAACCCTAACCATACCAAGTACAAAAACACACCTAAGCCTAAACCTAACCTAAACTTAGTTCCTTTATCTAACACCCAACCCAAGAAAATAACCCTCCTCATGGGAACCAGTCTTTGATTGATTGATTGATTGATTGATTGATTGATTGATTGATTGATTGATTGATTGATTGATTGATCGATTGACATCAGCTCAAATAGTCAAAGAAGCAGAATGTGCCAAAGGAAGAAAAAGGTGCATGGGGTATATACAGTTTATACAGTGTGTGTCCACATATAACAGCTTTATTTATTTTTTAATAGTAGGATCATTATACAGGGTTATTGCACAAGGTGTTTACATGGGTATTTATATATAGATATTGCAGTGAGTGTAAAATATAGAGAAACAGGTTATTGCAGTGTTTCAAATAGTATTGCACATTATACATTCCACATGTTATTGCTGTTGTATTGTCGTATTGTGGAGTCTGGTGCAATCATCCACTATACCTATAAGTTAGGGGTACCATCATTTTTTTCCAGGCATGATTAAAGAGTTTATTATTAAAAATAATTATATTGAAGCATATCTGAAAAGCAATATCTGACTTGTGTATTTTTATATTTTTCTTATATTTTTATATTCTTATATTTTTCTTTGATTAAATGAGAGGTACCAACATTTTTTATCCAGGAGTGTTGCTCAATTCCAGGGGGAAGTTTTACCAGTCAGTTATTATTTGTGAACTCATGTCATCTGCTGTTGTTTGTCCACTGCATCTTACTATTTCCAAAGGAGGGCCACAGATTTACAAGGGAATATTAGAGTACTTCAATGCTTCTGTGCTGACAAGTGTGAATTGGAGGCGTTTATTTTATTGTCCAATAGGACTCAGCGCTTAATCCATGTTTTCAACAAATAAGTAAATATTTTTTTTTAGGTTCACTTTGGTGGCTCCAGACATCCTGAGGACCGACACAGAAGAAAACATCTACTTACAGGCAGAAGATGCATCCAGCCCCGTCACCGTCAGAATTACAATCCAGGACTTCAACAAAGACATTCTTCTTCTCCAGGAGTCTGTAACACTTAATCAGGAAAATGGTTACCACCTTCTTAAGAGCATACAGGTGAAGCCTATTAACAATTACAGTTTTCAATTGAGACACAAGTGCTAATTAAAGGAATATTTGTTCAGAACTTTTCTTTTAAAAATGGTCTAAAAAGTTGTCGCCATGGTTGCTCTGTAACATGCCTATAAATTAGAACCTCAATTTTGTACCCAAACTGTAATAAACTCTTCACCTTCTGTACCAATGCCCTTTTTTGCAGCTTTCATCTGCTCTTTTGAATCGTGATGAAAAAAAGAACAAGTATGTTCAACTGCAAGTAAACTTTGGAGACTTTTACTCAGAGGAGCGTCTTCTGATGGTGTCCTTTCATTCTGGGTATATCTTTATTCAAACAGACAAACCTATCTACAATCCTGGAGACACTGGTGAGAAGAGCTCACTTAATTATATAAATGGTCAAAATATACAGTATGACCAAGGATGTAAGATCTTAGGTTGTTAGTCCAAACTTTAACTAAATCTTTATTATTTGCTCTCTTCACCAGTCCGTTTTCGAACCTTTGTGTCCTCTCCGTTCTTCAAGGCCTTTGACACCTCCATCACTATAGATATTCAGGTAAAACCTTAAACACAAATTATGTTCAATTGTAGTTTTTTCTACAAACACAGAGGTTGAAACTTTTTCTTATATTTATTAAGTTAAAGTCAGACTCTACTTAGAGATGTAAAACCATCTACATCACTTCATTAATTAAATGATTAATGATCCAACTGATGCAAAATGAAAATATTTCACATCGTCACCTTTAGGACAAGTCATTATTTTTCATCCATCCATTTTCTTACACGCTTAATCTCAAGCGGGTATGGGTGCTGGTGCAGTGCAAGTCCATCACAGGGCAACACAGAGACAAACAACCATTCATGCACACACTCACACCTAAGGAGAATTTAGAGAAGCCAATTAACCTAAAAACTTTTAGTAACCTAAATGTTTTTAGACCGTGGGAGGAAGCCGGAGTACCCTGAGAGAACCCACACATGCTCAGGGAGAACATCCAAACTCCATGCAGAGAGGGCCAGGAATTTAATCCATAACCTTCTTGCTGCAAGTCAGAAGTGCTACGCACTGCACCACTGTGCAGCCCAAGTCATTATTTTGAAATGATCAAGTCAGGAGAAAATAGTAAATGTGACTTATTGTTATCATTTTTCATGAGTTGATAACAGTGTAAATAATTGTGTTAAATGGTCGGATGATATTCTGAAATTGTGCTCCCCAAGGTGGTTGCATGTTGAAGTAGCTCTGTTAGTTTGATTCTTGTAATATTTTTGAAAGAACTTAATTTGACCAATTTGTTGATAATTCCCCATTTAGTGATATTTTTCTCCTTCAATATTGGATGCTGTGCAGTTGATAGGATTGTTGTTGATATCTTTATATTTTGACATCTTTAGAGCAACCCAAACCTAGGAGACCAGATTTATAATGCGTAGCATTTAAGTTTAGCCTCAGACTCCTCTTATTGAATCCATTTGGGGAAAGGAACTAACTTGTTTGGTGTTCCAAAAAGAAGTTAGGAGAACTCCAAGCACTAGCAAGGACCCAGCCAGAATTTTTAGGAATGCAGTATTATGTGTATCACTGAAACATGGCTGCAGGATCACATCCTTGATTCTTGTGTCTGAATGCTGGGCTTTCTGACCATATGAATAGACAAGACAGGGACTTATTGAGCAGTGTACAGAAGTAACTTCAAGTCAAGATAAAATAAAGCAAAAAGGTATAAAAGAAAAGGCTGGGAAGCAAGCTCCAGCAGAACAATATCAGAAAAATGTGGTCAGTGATAAAGCAAAATCACAGGCTCCAAGCAGGAGGATGATCCGACAGATGGAATCTGGACAAAACCAATGATCTGAACATATTCAATAGATTTAGTTCAGCATCCTTCTGTCCTGCCCCATGTCAAATGGACCTCCCACCCTCCTTTGATCTAATGCTTCCTTATTGCAGACTGGTGAATTTAATAAAAGGGAAACTGTTTAGTGAAATAAACAATGATATCAGCAATCATATTATCATCCAAACAAATCGGTATGACGTCTTATCAGGATAAATCTGGTGATTACGCCCCTAAAGCGTATTTTATATGAACATTCTGGCTTATAAGAAATGGTTTGTTAATTCAGTGTTTGTTAACTTATCTGTCACTAGATATAACAGTGTTTTATTTAAATATTTGTTTCCTTATTTTAATCATTTGACTTTTTGTGTATTAGAATCCAGATGGTGTGGTGGTTAATCAGATCTCAAGGACCAGAGCCACACACGGTGTCTTTGCAGATACTTTCCCTCTATCTGAAATCGTCAAGTAAGACCACCATGTTTTTTTGGCTTCTTTTTATTAACGTGTTTTAGCTATCGTGGTCTGAGCTCACTTTGCAAATATGTAAATCAAATAGTTTCTGCAGTATTTAAAAAATTCAACATGACTTAAAATAAATCTCTAAAGTTATGCATTTCTTTTTAGAAATCAAGGATAACTTGTTCTATCAGTAAGAATAAATTCCTGCACTATTCCTGCAGTGAAATTTGTTTCTGTTTTGCTTCACATTATATTTAAAGTACCATAAACAATGTTAAGCACGCCTGCTCCAATGTCCACCTGTTTTGAATAGTTGGTGATTGCAAGTCCTCGGTTTTCAGCAGCTGTTGTCTAATAGTAAGCCGAGCAATTATTTTTTATTTGTTTTTACCTCTGATTAACTTCTCCTTTAGTCCTTGTTGTGGCAAGACAAAAATAGGCTCCTCATTATTATTTTTTTATTGTTTAAGTTGTAAAGACATACAGATGTTTATTGAACAAAGATGACTGGCACTCTTTTGCACTTATTATGGCTTTTAAATTATTTCAAAATGGCAAATATAACTTGAAAATTGTTTACCGTAAGATACATTTATTCTACAATAATGGTCAGGAGTCTCAATAACTGCAAAGAATTAATTTGCTCCTGTCGGTTTTCCCTTTGATGTTATGGACTTAAAGTGATATGGCTGTTTTACAGTGAAGGAACATGGAAAGTGACGGCAAAGTTTGACCACTGGGAACAAAACACATTCACGTCCCACTTTGAAGTTAAAAAATACGGTAGGGTAAATAAAATTGATGATCTTATCAATGTTGTTTCTTTGATATTCTACTAGAAATACTTCTAGACATCAAGCTTTAGATGTCAGGGCTTACTGAAGCTCCTTTAAAGTTATCTACAATGAAGCCTTTTAACATATTTTACATACTTCTCAGCAATAAAATTAATTTAAGCAACTTCATTACTTCGATATGAATCTTTGATTATTTCAGCAAAGGAAATGTGGCTTTTAAGACTAATAATAAAAATCTAAGAAAAAACACAAGGGCCTTATTTTTAAAGATCCAAACAAGAAGCTCTACATTGCTTGTGTGATTTTTTTTTAGTATGTGCAAAAAGTGGCTGTACTGTGGGTGATCTTCAAAGATTCCTGTGCAAATGTTAAGAAGTGAAAAACCGATTTGGCGCTTCCCATCAAAATGAGCAGATTGTTTGTTCTGGCAGTTTTGAGATCGGCTTTAAAAACAAAACAAAAAAAGAGGTTCAGAGCCATGGAGATAGAGATAGTGGAGTTCAATTCAGTTCAGACCAATTTAATAAAAAAAAAACTTTATTAATCCTGAAGGAAATTAAATATTGTAGTTAATCACCAACACTCATGCAACAAGTTGTAGAAGTTAAAAACTGTTGGCAGGAAGGATAATCTGCTTTGTTTTGCACCAGATCCTGAAAAGCCTTTGACTGAAGGCACTGTGTTGGCGTCTAACAGTCATGTGAAAATGCTCAGTGTTGTGCACAGTGTTCTTCACTTTATCAATAATTCTTTGTGAAATTATCACGAGAATTTCTGGAGCAGTTCCAAGAACAGTGCCTGCCTTCCCTATCAGCTTGTTCTGCTTCGTAAAGTTATTCGCTTCCCTGAGGCAAAAGCAAGACAAGAATCAGACATTGAAGGACTGCTGGACATCCACTCGCTGTGAGGCTTTCAAACAATGTGGCAACAGTGACTGCTTTGAGGTCTTGTTAAATAGGCATGGGATCAGATGGAAAGTAGGAGCACTGATTAGAATGAGTGGAGCTGCACAGATAAGACGAATGAGTGATAATGATGCCAGAAGCAGACCTGAATGTAAAGGAACCAGTTCCTTTTCTAGACTTATGAAACTATTGAGGAATGTATTCAATTCATTAACTTCCATTGGCGCCCAACATTCCATCAGTCTGAACTTCCTTCTGCTTAAAGCCTGTGATCTTCTTCATTTCTGAAACCAAACATCAATGATATTGTTTTGAGCTTGCATTCCAGCCTCTTACTATATGCTTCCTTCTTTATCTTGATCTTAAGTTGCAGCCGTTTCTTGTCTCCATAACTGAATGCTCTTCTATCTTGTTCAGCAGTTCTTTCAGATCACTGATGATCCAGGGTTTATTATTGGGGAAGCATCCTGGTGGGGATGGTTGTATCTAAATAGAAATTTTGTCACACAGTCATTGGACTCATGTTCTCTCCATGTGGCTGAGTGTGCATTCTAGTCTGTAGCCTGAATTAACCTTGCAGAGCTTCATTAGCCTCCTGTGACCGTCTTTTTACAGTATACTTTTAATTCAGGTTTTCTCTTATACTGTGAGCAGAGAAAAACAAAATTGCGATCGGATTTTACAATAATTCCAGCTGCATTATGTTTGCTGACACTATGTTTTGTTTTCTTTAACAATATTTTTATACTATTGTTATTTTTGATGGTCCAAATATTTTTTACATTAGCAAAGAATCTCTCCATCATCTTGCATTGTACCAGTGCTTCCTTCGTGGCAACAATCACAGTAGATCTATTTGTGTGTCAGTTTGCACCTGACTCTTGGAAGTACTAAAAAAAAGCTAAAATCGTTACGTAGTTTCCGATTTGGACAATTGCTTGGCACTTTTTAAATGTTCACATCTGCAAATCCCCCACTTATGAATTTGCATTAGAATATGATCTGCATATTGATAGGGGCATCAAGCACACAAAGAATGGTTTGCATACGCTGCTGGATTCAAATCCCTTTTAACCTTCTTTGGAGATCTGCTGTGCACGAACACATTTTCATCTGTTTTTGATATGATCAGCCTCATTACATTTAACAAGCTAAATGTGTTATCATAAACCTGTCTGAAAACAAGTTTGTACTAATTCATTTGCATAAGATTTAGGAAAATATTACCTAAAGAACATTTGGTGGACTACAGATTATTATTTATTTATTGACGTAATGATTTATTATTACCATCCAATATACACTTGATATTAAAGAGACTTTTGTGGAAAATCTATAAGAAGATATTGTAACCACAACATAATACAAAACTGAATTTATTTCTTTTTTTGTTTTCTCTGTGTTTAATCCTTATTTTCAAACAGCTAAACTGTAAATTATTATTTTAATTTTACAGTGCTTCCAGCCTTCAACGTTACATTGACTCCTAAAAAACCCTTCCTCAGTTTGGATGACAACGAACTGGTTGTAGAAATTTCGGCAAGGTTAGTTGTGCACAAACCCCACTGACTCCCTGGCAAATTTAACACAAAAGCAAAACTCTAAGAGCTTGATCTTCAAAGATTCCAAACAACTGCTGTTGGATTGCATTTACTTTTTTTTGTTTTGTTACATGCACTAAGTAGGTGTGTTAAGACCTGACAACCTTATGTTTATAAGGTTTATATATATATATATATATATATATATATATATATATATATATATATATATATATATATATATATATATATATATATATATATATATATATATATATATATATATATATATAAACATGCCACAATATTTAAGTTCAGTCATTTGGTTTCATTTATTTTTTTTGTATATAGGTATTATCATGCTAATGTTATTTTTGATGGTTCAAATATGTTTACAAGTCCACAGAATATTTCACCACCCTCTTGTATTGTAATAATAGCTGCATTTCTATTAATCTTAAAATTGCTAAGTGGAAACTGTAAATTTAAAGAGTCACACTTTTAGATTTATATTTTTAGGTTTTTCAGAAATATGGAAAATTTTATATTTCACAGAAGTGCAATTAAAACACTAATTGTACATTACACGAGTCACGTGATATGCATCTGGACTTTACCTCCTTGTAAACAGGTAAAGAAGAATCTAATTAGTTAGAGAAGGAAGGCGTCAACAAGAGCTGTGTGTTTACAGCCGTCGCTGCCATGTCTTTTTTCCAAGAAGAAAAAACTTTATTTATGAGCAACTTTAATTGTATTTGTTATTAAATGAAAATACCGTAATTCTGAATATTAGCAAATGTCACAATGGTTTTGCACACTTTTGCCATGGAAACGCAGCTGCTACCTCTTTTGTGACAATACCTGTATTTTCATTAGGAATGTGCACAAAAACTATATCAATATTCTGCTAATTAAAAAAATTATAATTTTCGCAGTTTCCTTTAAATGAGAAATACAGTTAAAGTTGCACATGAATACTTCTGTATCTATATGAAACTGTAAACACATGAGATATATCCATATTTCAGCAGCGGTTCTAGTGCTCATCAAGGTCATTGTCACAAACTAAACACCATTGCTGTTTTATTGTGTTTTACAAGAATTTCGATACGACCAAAAAACCCTGCAATCGAAGTGTAAAATCTTTGTATCGAAAAAGCTGTTTTTGCAGAAAATGTAGTGTTTCCTTTCTCAAAATAATTGTTGTGATTAGAATTTGTGTAGTTTGATGGTTAATGCAAACGTAGCTACTGACCACTTTCAAAAGTAGGCAAAAAAGATGCAAAAACTGCTGATACAGATACATAGTAAATGTTAATATTTGCATATCCTTCACCCATGAATTTTGGTCCTTAGAACATGATTTTCATATCGATGAAGGCACCCCTCCCCCCAAAAAAAGATTTGCACATGCTGTCTGCTGAATAACAAACAAAAATAACTTTGCATGTGAGAAAAGCAATATATCTCTGACTGAATTTTAGATACCTGTACGGGGAACCTGTGGAGGGGACAGCTTACGTCGTGTTTGGAGTGAAACTCAATCAAGAGATGAAAAGGTTGCCTTCTGTAAAGCAGGTGTCAGATGTAAGTTGTCTCCAACATTAAAATGTTTTCACACATTTTAGGTTTTAACACTTTTTCTCTCTTTAAGTGTTTTACTCAGAGTGGTCTTTTGTAGTTGTATATGTCAGTAAATCCTAAAGTCCCTCTAGTTCCATATCTGTGCAGCAGTGCACGCTGTAAGTTTTTATTATTTTTTACATTTCTGTCTCTTTTATCCACCTTACTTTTATCTTTTTAAATATTTATGTGTCTCTTGTGCTTGTTTTATTTTTATCTGTGATTTGTGAAATGTGAACATGTGTGTGAAAGGTGTACTACTACTGCACAAAATTGCCCATACTGGGACAAATAAAAGCTACTGAACTGAACTGAAGTCCACCCAATTATTATGAATAACTCAACATCAAAGGCTAATTAATAAAAAAAATAGCTTCAAGTAGTAAAAATAGTTTTACCTATTTAATCCACCATTATAGGGGACTTCCTTACTGTCAGTTCAACATACTATTGCTTTGAATAAAGCATGAGTATTTTCTTTGCACAATTATAATATCTTTCCTGTTCTGAGTTTGGTGCAGATTTTTTCTTGTATCCTTCCTTTTTATTTTTTAGCTTATTACAAAAAAAAAACAACAACAACGAAACAAAACAGTTTTATCAGTGTTAAACAAGTAAAGAATTTGACTTTTATATAGTTACTCAGTATTCTGTTTTCTTCTTCATGCAGCTGAATGGAGGAACTGTCAGACTGACTATGGTGGAGCTCAGGAGGGCTTACCCCAATATTAAAGCATTAGTGGGAAACTCTGTTTATGTGAAGGCGTCCGTGCTCACCAAGACAGGTAAACACCTTTTTACATTTTAGAAGAAATGAGATTCTGTTTTGATGTTTTGAATTCATGAAAGTTGCATTAAAACCTGAACATAAATCTGTCATAAATAGTCCTCAACCTAAAATCTTATTGGGTTCATGAGTTCGGTTGATTTGATTATTAAATTTTTTCTTTCATTCATTCAGTTTCATTCATTTCCATAACATCCTGCCATGTTGTTATTCTTTATGTCACTGAATATAGATATTTTTATTTATATATTTGAATTAGGACAATGCGCATTTATCAATATGTCAGCCTGAAGCAGCAATGTAAATATGCTAGAATTAGCACAACAGCTACTTTGCATCCGCTGTCCTATGGGCAGGTAAATATTGTGAACATCAAACAAGACACTATAGGAGAGGACAGAGTCGACAAAGTTGCCAATAACATGAAATCAAAATAAAATTAGGTTAACAGGCTCAAGGAAATAAATCAATTCACCTGTGAATAAATCTCTGGTTAGTTTTCAACCAATGTTTCAAGGAGATTTTTAAACTTATGTAGGTTACATGGCCCCTAACACGAGCTGGCAGTCTATTCCATGACTGTTCTCCTCTGATAGATTCAACCATTTGGCCAAATTTTGTTATAGACTGCTCAACATTACAGCGTCCTCTGGTTATACGTGTTTATTCTAGTAATGTTTTGTAATGTTTGTATGTTTTGCTTATAAAATCTTTTAGAGGATGAGGAGCAAGTCCATTTAAAACTTAAAAAAAAGACAAGCATGCAAAAATATCTGGTGACGTTCAAAGTCTAAAATGTTGTACTTACTTAAAATATATTGCTTTGAGTCACAATTGTAAAAGATCAGACTATCCAGAATTTTGCAATCTGGTCAGAGGTTACTGAAACCTGTGGTGTTAGCACAGTTAGTCTGCAAATTCTGCTAAGGTCAATTGTCTGTCTATGTATTTGTCCCTCTGGAAATTCTGAATTTCGGACTGACTGTGCTGTTATCTTTAGTGTTGGTTATCTTTTATATGTTGGTTAAAGATTTTTTTTGAATTTCACTTGTCCTCTTTTCAGTACTAAATATATACACTCACCGGCCACTTTATTAGGTACCCCATGCCAGTAACGGGTTGGACCCCCTTTTGCCTTCAGAACTGCCTCAATTCTTGGTGGCATAGATTCAACAAGGTGCTGGAAGCATTCCTCAGGGAGTTTGGTCCATATTGACATGATGGCATCACACAGTTGCCGCAGATTTGTCGGCTGCACATCCAGGATGCGAATCTCCCGTTCCACCACATCCCAAAGATGCTCTATTGGATTGAGATCTGGTGACTGTGGAGGCCATTTGAGTACAGTGAACTCATTGTCATGTTCAAGAAACCAGTCTGAGATGATTCCAGCTTTATGACATGGCGCATTATCCTGCTGAAAGTAGCCATCAGAAGTTGGGTACATTGTGGTCATAAAGGGATGGACATGGTCAGCAACAATACTCAGGTAGGCTGTGGCGTTGCAACGATGCTCAATTGGTACCAAGGGGCCCAAAGAGTGCCAAGAAAATATTCCCCACACCATGACACCACCACCACCATCCTGAACCGTTGATACAAGGCAGGATGGATCCATGCTTTCATGTTGTAGACGCCAAATTCTGACCCTATCATCCAAATGTCGCAGCAGAAATCGAGACTTCTCAGACCAGGCAACGTTTTTCCAATCTTCTATTGTCCAATTTCAATGAGCTTGTTCAAATTGTAGCCTCAGTTTCCTGTTCTTAGCTAAAAGGAGTGGCACCCGGTGTGGTCTTCTGCTGCTGTAGCCCATCTGCCTCAAAGTTCGACGTACTGTGACCATGTCTACATGCCTAAATGCACTGAGTTGCCGCCATGTGATTGGCTGCTTAGAAATTAAGTGTTAATGAGCAGTTGGACAGGTGTACCTAATAAAGTGAACGGTGATTGTATATATATATATATATTTATATTTATATATATAGATATATTTATATAGATATATATAGAGAAAAGACTGTGCAAATCAAAGCCTACAGCCTGCAGCCTCTGCTGTTCATCCAGCAGTGTTGCTCCACTCCGAGCACCTCAGAGCTCAAGGAGAGCGTGCGTTTTATTTTAGTTGTTAAACTCATAGGAGCAAAACATGTGGAAATTAATTTAATATGCTATATTAGTAAAATCCCCATCAGCATCCAGCATATATTCATTTTCTGCCCAAATATTTTCTTCTTGTTGTGGATTTTTGTAACAGGGATAACTAAGATCATATTAAATTGGTTTGTATGAACTATGTTTGTTCTCTGCTTCCAAACTCAGCATCTCTTCATCCATGCCTGTGATAAGAAGTTTCTTTTGAAGCTGTGAGATGCGGTCTTGGAAGTTGTGACTGGATTTGATTAAACTTTTAAGCCTCTCACTATAAAGTAGATATTTTGATTGAGATGAGAAATCTGCTTCCTGGTATGTTTAACCACTAATACAATAGTTTGCATCCAATCATTTGATTAAACGGCCTTAGTTTTTGGGAATATATAAATATTAGGCTCTAATTTGTAAGTACCGATCTGTCGTTACTATGTTTTAATTTGACAAACAGGATCTTGTCGACGTCCGTTTTCCTGTTTGGTGTGATTGCATTTGCGGATCTTGACCTGGCCGGACCAGAGCGGAGCAAAAAATAGTTTGGCTCCGTATTTTGACGGCGAACGACAGAGAAGACATACGTGGACGGTAATATGCGGAGGGTAAGCGGTGGATGTGGAGAGTTCTCACTGACCAACATGACAGAAAAGTACTCCAGACAACGTACGTGAGCGGAGCGGACACGAAGGATGTGAAATCTGGGGGTCACTGTCATGGTCTGCCGTGATAGCTGACCTTAATTGTTCACTTCCTTCACCTGCCTAAGTCTGCCCAGTTCCTAATAATTCCTCATCTTCGCCACCCGTGTCTGTTCCTTTATATTCGGCTCAGTCCAGCTATCGGGGCTAGATCATTGTTTGATGAAAGTTTGTTAGCTTGTTTTGTTAGTCTTGAGTTATTCTGGGTTCATGTTCTCATCCCTGGAGGCCAGTGGGTTGAGAGGGTTTTAGTGTTTACTGAGCCTGACTGTCTGCATCTTACTGGCTCTCTTCCAAACAGCCTCATGACAAACCAGCTGCCAACCAAGAACATTAATAGTAAGAGATGATGCTGAAAATTTGACTAAATAAAACAAAAAACCCCTGAAAAAAAACGAAATACTCAATACTGGCTTAAGCATGCTGTCTGAACTCTCAAAAGTATTACACAGATCACAAAATCACATCCAACCTTGAAGAACTTAATCATTCACATTGGAGGACTGAATGATGTTGCTAAGAGTAAGTCAGAATTATTAAAGGGAGACGTGATCAGTCTGCTTAACACTGTGGAATATACAAAATTTAAAGTTTTCATTTGTGGCCCCTTGCACCGCCTTCAGCAAGAGATGAATTCTTCAGCAGAGTTTCCTACCTGAATAAATGGATCAAACAAGCCTGCTTCACAAGTTCAGTTGGATTTATTGATAACTTAACCATCTTCTGGGAAAAGAGACACCTCTTCAAGAGAGATGGATTTCATCTGAATAAATCAGGAGCAAAACTTTTGGCTTCCAACATGTTCTACTACCTGTAGGAAGTACATGATGTGAATGAAAACCCAATAGTCTCCTTGATGAAAAACATGACTCTGCTGAGGACTTGAAACAGGAGGACTTGAAAGGTGAGAACTTGGAATGGGAACAAAAACAGAACAAACTTATAATAAAGACAGCCAAAATGGTCGATGAGGCAATGTGGAAATATTAGTAAAATCCATTATTACTGTGAAGTACAGTGACCATGCTTTGGACCCCAACAAAGCAGAAGGCAGTCCCAACAGAAGTATCTCTCCACAGCATCATCTCACAGCATTGTATCCAGCCCAACACTAAACCTAAACATGGCCCCACAACAGGAAAACTCATAATCTCCCCCCACCCCTCCTCAGGCTAGTTTATTCCCTAAACAGTGGTGAGATTCCATTTGCTCTCATCTACTGGCCCTGTCTGTCCCCATCTGATCTGTTCGTCTGAACCATCCTTGGATTCTGCATGTCTGCATCTGTGCGTGCCTGTTCTGGACCCGTCTGACTCTGAACCTGCCTTCACGCTCTGTGGGTTCCTGGAACCTGGTTCTGTCTGTTCCTGTGTGGATCGGAACCCCTGACCGGACTGCTGACTCCTGGATTCCAGAACTTCTCCAGTCTGAACTGAATCTCTGTCCTGGATCGGAGTCCTGCCTGTTCACTGGGGTTGCTGCATCGGGGATGCTCTGGACGACTCAAAGTTGCCTCTCATTGGCAGTGCATCTGCTTATGCTGCCTATGATTGAAAGGATGGACTGAACTGTTGAACCAGAGTGTCAGTGATTGGGCGGTGCCCAACCTCCCCTCTGCTGTTGCTGCAGGTCCACAGATCCACAGCAGCTCTGCGGTTCTCTTCTGTCTGTTTATTTTTGTTTTAATAAACGTTTTGACTTTCCTCCTGACTGTCTCTCCTTAAATACTGGGGCGATCTGTCCCATTTTATGACTATATGATCTCTGTCAGGAAGATAATTTTTTATCAACGATTTCATTACTCAGCAAAATCTAGATTCTATGTTTTTAACTGAGACATGGCTAGATGAAAATAATGAGATGCTGATTTTATTGGAGACCACACCTCCACATTACAATTTCCGTCATCAGAACAGACTATTTAAAAAAAGAAGGATTCATTACTCTGTTTAATGATTCACGAAAGTGTAGAAAAGTGATGCACTCCAAATACACAAATACACTGCAAGTAATTGACCTTGGATACAAGATGGTTCCGCTGGATTAAAGTCCGGGGTATCAAAGTAATGAGACCTGGATTCAAATGCAAAATTCAGATTTTTAGAATAGTAAAGTTAGGCTTTTACAATTCTGGAGTACATAAATCACACTGCAGTAAGATATTTTTAATTTCTGTGAAGTTGATGAAAGAGCATAAGTGTGCATAATATGTTTGCAAGACATGTTAAGTTAATGAGGGCCAATTTGTGTTCTAAGAGCTTCATGTTTTTATTTTTACTGTTTTTTTCCCCTTCTTTTCAGGAAGCGATCTAGTAGAGGCTGAAAAGACTGGGATTAAAATTGTTGAATCCCCATATGTCATAGCCTTCAAAGATGCACCAAAGTATTTTAAGCCAGGAATGCCATTGGATCTTACAGTAAGGACTACCTTTCCATTTTTTTTTACAACATTGTTTAGCTTTGACTGATGAAAAGAAAAATATTTTCTTAAATTGTTTCAGATTCAAGTAAGCCAGCATGATGGGTCCCCTGCTCATAATGTTTTGGTCAAGCTGACATATTTGGACTCACCAATAATCATCTCCTCAGGCATTAGTAGAGCCAGCATTAACATGCCCGCAAGACAAATCTCTCAAACTATCATTGTGAGTATAATTGCACAATAATGCAATAAAATCTGATAAATATGGCTTTTTTGCTTCTCTACAATCACATAAACACATATATAAGCTTCCAAGAAGACTAATACCAATGCTTTTATCAAGGTATTAACCTGTGCTGGAATGAAATCCATTTCTGGAGTTTTTTAGAAACATGCAATTATAAAAGTTATGGTTCAAGAACTATTAGATATTTGTTAACACATGTCAGATGGTGCTCTTTAATGCATGCTGTAAGGCTGCTGCTTCATTAAGACGAGTATATTCCTTCAGATTTACATTTTTCATTCAATACATACTCATAAGGTGATTGCAACAATAATTTGATTTAGTTTATATAGTGGCAATTCATTACACATGTCATTTTAAAGAATTAGTTAAAGGTTTTCCATCTAAGGAAATGCAGCTGATTTCATAGGGTCATTGACTTCACTCCTTCAGTATGAGCACGCAAGAACAGCAAAAATATGCTTCATTAAGTTGTTGACTCTTTAGCAATCCCTCACATGGAGTGTGCAGCAATGAAAGAGAGGAAAAGAGGAAGAAACCCCCAGCTGAATCACAGCTGTGTGAGCGGCCTTCTGAGACTAACTGGGGGTTCAAAAAGACAGAAAGAGACATACAGGAGGAATATAGATGAGTTGATGCATAAATACTTTCTATGTTAGAGAAGGAATTGGTAAGCTTCATATGTAGCTCTGTTTAGGAAAAACAGTTCAGCAAATGAGCTCTGAACATTTTTTCAATTCAAAAGGATGAAAAAGAGCACATACACATTTTCACAGTAAAAGGTTAGCCTACAGCTATGTTTAGGAGAGAAACAGGAATAAGCACTGAAAAACAGACCCAACTGTATAATTTATCATTTAAGTTGTTAATAGCAGCAGCCCAGCTGATGCTTCCTTCCCAGTCACATAAAAACAGAGCACCAGGCCAGATGAAGCTACTACTAAGAAATTTCAGAGAAAAACTTAAGTTAGAAGTTGAATTACTGTAACAATGCAAAATTGGAGAATAGAAGTAGAATGTATCAGATTAAGGAAAAGTCATCTTGATGTCCTACAACACTCTAGGTGTCACGATTTGTATGGATTGTGGACCCAAATGCAGAGACCAGGAGGCAGGTGTGAATCTTGTAGATTTAATGAAAAACAGAGGCAGACAACCAAAAATCCAAAATACCAAGAACCAGAAAGCCAGAAAACATCGGGGAAAACTCACATGGGAAGCCAGAGATGAGGGAACAACAACAAGGAACCAGCACTGAGTGATTGCAGAGTGGTGTATATAAGGGGGACAGAACAAAGGATGGACTAATGAGCTGAATAAGGAGCAGGTGTGGGTGGAACTATCTAGAAGGAAACCAAGGGGAAAGGAAACAAGCACAAGGGGGCAACAGAGAGTAACTAAAGACTACTTGAATATAATGGAAAATAAACCAAAGATCAACAAAATGGAATAAATAATAACTGAAAACTAAAAACTCAGAGTCTCAAAAGGGGAGAAGCATGAGACTAGGCCTATAGCAGCTAAACTATAGAGATAGTTCAGCATAACCTGTGCCGCTCTAACTATACGCTTATTTAAGGAATAATGATTAAACTATATCTATGCAGTTTTCTTTGTGTGTCTCTTACATATTAAGAGACACACAATATCTTACATATATTTTTTAACAGAGAAGATAGATTTATTTCTGGAAATATTAAATAGCTTTTTCTCATGTATTTATTCTTAATTGAAGTAGTAGTAAATGCTGTGATTCAAAACACTGGGACAAAAATGGACTGAACTGTGTGGTTATTTGTTTTTTATTTCTAGGCTGAAACAGCACAGCCCGACTTGGGTATAGATCAGCAAGCCAAGCAGCAGATCACTGTCAATCCATATGTGACCCTCAATCAACGTCAGCAAAACTACCTGTATATCTCCACTGGAACCAACAAAGTTTCTGTTGGAGAGACACTCTCCCTGCGGTTTTCCATTTCTTTATCTGATCAGTCACACAGAGAATTTATCAAACACATCACTTACCTGGTGAGATAAAGAAATTATCGCAAAGAAAGAAGTTTCCTACATACTACCAAATTATAAATTCAATGCAAGAATCAACAATCACATCTACAATAATTAAACCCTGCAATATTTTTCCTCAAAACCCACAGGTGCTGAATAAAGGTAAAATCATAACAGCTGAGCGTCAAGTTGTGATGGGCCAGCTGGTGACTAGTGTTTTCTTGGTGGTAACATCGGAGATGATGCCGTCGTTTCGAGTTGTAGCGTTCTACAGCATTCCCTGGGCAGGACGAGAGGAGCTGGTTTCTGATTCAGTCTGGATAGATGTGGTGGACCGCTGTGTTGGAGGGGTGAGTGTTTAGCTTGTTCTCAGATGTTGTGAGATTAAATATTAAAAACCTCATATTCTGGCAGAGAAGGTATGTTAAGAATCACATGTAAAGTAGTTGGGCTCTGTAAAGTTAATGTATATGTATTTTTCTATTATAAAACTACAAAGATTTTTGGAAATAATGACCCTTATTTGATAATAAAAAAAAAAGAATAAGAGGGTTAAGAGAGAGGGGGAAGAAATGCAGCATATGAGGGGATTTAAACCAGGGACCCCTTGCTTCAAGAGCAAAGGCCTTGGTAAATGGGTTGCACGCTCCCTTCCTTCACCACTGCTGCACCCTGCATGACAGTTTAACATGTCAATTTAATCAAGTGGGCATTGAACTGGATTAATGAATCATAAAGGATTTCTGCAGTCATTTTGCTCAAATTAAAATGACAGATAATTCTTACAGAAAGATGTTGCTCATTTTTATCAAGTAACTGGAGTACTAACTCATCAAGAAGTTGTGAAAATTTGATTTTGGTACAGTTTTAGTCATAGTTTTTTTTTTTTTTTTGTAATTCTTTTATTTTTATTTTTTATTTTTTTGCAGCTGAAAGTTACGACAGACAGTATACAGCAGCACTACGCACCTGGGAAAAACTTTCGCTTCCAGATCCGGGGTGACCCAGGTGCAAAAGTTAGCCTGGTGGCAGTGGACAATGCAGTGTACCTTCTCAATGGGGAGAGACTGACACAGAGAAAGGTATGTTTATTTTATTTTTATCTGAAGAAAAATAAAATACTTTATATGTATTGGGGAAATGATCTGGTTCAACTTGTAAGCAGGTTATAAAGAAAGATTCATGCATATAATGTCAGAACTAAGGACCCAGAATTTGAGGCAGACAGATAGGTGTGATTCAAAAAAGTGTTGATTAATAGATGTCAGGTCAGCAATTCAGCAGCTAGAGCAGGAAAGTCAAATTGGTTCCAGAAAGGGCCGTGTGGCTGCAGGGTTTCCAACCCAGCAATAGCACACCATACTCCAGTCATCTCATCAAGTGTGTCCAATCTGAACATTTTGACTTGATGAAATGACTGGAGTCTGGTGTTCTTTTGCTTAGTTGTAAAGAAAACCTGCAGCCACACGGCCCTTTCTGGAACCAGTTTGACACCCCTGAGCTAGAGTGTCTAAGGTCAGAATCTGTGGTTTTAGAGTTCAGTCTGGGCCCAGAAAAAGGAGTGGAATCCAGCCAGATGGCTACCATTAGCATTGTGGGGAAAACCGCCCAGAGAGTTCCGAAGCCTGTAGACTGCTGAGCTGGCTGATGAGCAGAAGCAAGCAGATGAAGGAAGGCAGAAGTTTCCAGAAGACAAAGCCAAAGCCGGTGTCAAAGAGCTTAAATAAGTCCAGGACAGAACATCAGAGATCCGAAGAGGTACTGAGGGGAAATCCAAGTCAGGAGGCAGATCCAGCAGGAGTCCAAAGACGGGTCAGCCAAGAAAATCTGAAACAGGGACAGACAGGCTCAAAGGTCCCAAGACAGAACTGGTCAGGATCAGGCAAGAGAACTCTCACTGAAGGCTTGAATAATCTGGCACTGATGACTGGGATCAAGCAGTTTAAATAGAGATTAGAGCAGGTGACACAGATGATCAGTAATGCGAAAACTGGGCGGAGCAAGACAGATGAATGGAATGAACTATTAAGCCAGTCATCAGTGCCAAGATGTTGTCTCTATTCTCAGATTTGGGACCTGGTTGAGCATGGAGACATCGGCTGCACCAGAGGGGGGGGTCAAGATGCAACAGGAGTGTTTACAGATGCCGGACTTCTTTATTCCTCCAGTGGTGGGGTCAAAACTAGAATCCGAAAAGGTATATGTACCCATCAGTAATTTTATTGAATTAGAATGAATATTTTACTAAAACTAAAGGAATCACATATTTTTTTTAAGCAATTGTTTAACTATAAGAGTACACACTCTTGACATGGAGACTATTTTATTTTGCTCATCTTTTATCACTGTTATCTTTATCTGTTAAGAGAGGAACATCAGTGCTGTTAGAATGACTTAAAGGGATAGTTCGGTATTTTTGACATGAATCTGTATGGCATCCTCATCACCAGCGGCATGCAATCACACTGACTTACCCCTGGCAGCGTCCTGTGAGCAGAGTTATCGTCCACTTTTGGTCAAGCCGAAAGTAGTCCTGCAGGTTTTTAGGTACAGCGAAATAAAACTTTTCTCTTCCCAAAACATTATGTGTTCAAAAGAGCGATATTTTCGCATCCCAAAAACATTGTAGTTGAAAAAGTCACACGTCGTTATCAATTGGTCCTATTTTCTCTCTGTTCGTATCAGTGCGCGCCGTCATTCAGACAGCGAGCCCAACAACAGCCATGTCTCCTTCCGCCGCGGAAGGAGACATGGCTGTTTCTCTTCCCAAAACACATAATGTTTTGGGAAGAGAAAAGTTTTATTTCGCTGTACCTAAAAACCTGCAGGACTACTTTCGGCTTGACCAAAAGTGGACGATAACTCTGCTCACAGGACGCTGCCAGGGGTAAGTCAGTGTGATTGCATGCCGCTGGTGATGAGGATGCCATACAGATTCATGTCAAAAATACCGAACTATCCCTTTAAGGTTGATGCATTGTGCTTTTTTCCCTAACAGCAGATAGGATGTTTACTATTTTCTAAATACTGAAAGTATAGCCCTTTACACACAAAAACAATAACATCATACTTTCTCAAAAAATATTCCATCTTCATGACTCAAATGTTTTATTTTTCAGAAATGCGATGTCCTGCCACTACCAGAAGAAGGCGTTCTGCTGAACTTATCCAACGTAAAGCACGGCTTGGTGAGTAGTTTTTTTTTACATCAACTAAAAAATAAAACTTAAAGGCACACCGCAGACTTTTTGACTCCAGTTAGTGGGATCTGAGTTTCTGACCCCTTCTGAGCTGAATCTAGATGCCTAGTGCGGTCCCCAATCAAAGACACAAGAGGCTGGCCAGCTGACTGTTTGTTGACTTTTGCAAAAATTCTACAGTGCTTGGGGCCACTAGAGGCGCTTAATATAAACGTTTCAGGTCTAGCACCCCTGGTGGCCACAAGTTACACGGTGTGCCTTTAAGTAATTCACTCAACTTTACATGTTATTGTACTGATTGTATCTGTAAAATGAGCTTTACATTGACGTTGACTTAATTTTAACTTGAAATGTAGCAATAGAAATGGAAATTTAATTTATTAAAGCTGCATTTTTAATATTAATTTCAGTTGGAGTCCTTCAACTTTGTGGGTATATGATAAATAAGTTTGGTCAGCTTTTTTTAAGCAAGTTGGAAATGTTTTATTAAGATAACAATAAAATATTCCTATGTTTTTTAAGAGAGATGTTGGTACAAAGGAGAAAACCTTATAACAAAGTAAAAAAAAAAAGAGTCTCAGTATAAGGAGGAGAGCAACAGGCGCAGTCTTAAACAAGGTTATAATATTATGAACAGGTTTTGTGTCAATTTCATACGTTTTTCGTTATTATGCTGTAAGGACCTAAGACTGAGCCATTAGAGGACTCATAACATTTGAAATTCTCCCATGGCCAGTTACTCCCGAAAATATTAAGAATTACAAATTTAGTTACATTTCTTAAAAAATATAAAGAAAAACCTTTGCGAAATATGTAATGATATTTTTATTGCTTTCCCGCTACGTTTCCCGCTACGGCTCCTTGTCTCTATCATATTTGCCACTCTGATGATCCATCCTGTGCTGGTGGAGCCTCCTTGAGGAACAGCAAGCGAGCGGACGGTTCTATTTCAGCTCAAGCAGCGCATCAAAAATGATAGCCTTCCAGCACTGGAAATTTAAGCAGCATTTCATTTACATCTGTGAAAATGGCTCAAATTTAACAGTGCAGTTCAAAAGGTGTTTGCCAGCTATCAACCTGAACCTGCTTGTGTTAGTCCGCAAACTGCGTAAATGGTAGAGCCTGGGGTAGGAACAGAAAAGAGTATGGCCCGATGAGAGGAGTCTGAGAAAATCTTACATGCCTGGTGCTGGCATCTCTTCTTGTGGACATTCTGTGATTGCCTGTCAGCAGTTCCCTCTCAGCTTAGTGCTTTTTTAAGGTTCACATTCAGTTCTCAAAAATTAAATGTTGAACATGGGTCAATACTCATTAAAACCTTAAAGTAATCAAAAAGTAATCAAAAGTAATTAGTTACATTACTTTTTAAAAGTAATTGAAAAAGTTACACTACAATTACATTTTAAACAAGGTAACATGTAACTGTAACGGATTACATTTTTAAAGTAACTTACCCAACACTGCCCACAGACACTATAGATCCTCCAATGTACCCAACAATAGAAAGAAGATGCTTTTTCACGTAGACCTAACTTGTTTCAAGAAAAACTCAAAGGAAGTCTTTTAGGCTGAAAAGTTTAATATTTCTTCCTTTTGACCTAAGTTGTTCGACAAAATCTTTTTTTTTCTGGCATATTACTCTATGTTAACAAACAGCGGGCATGCAGCCCATATCCAATAGGAGTTATAGACGTCATTCTGTAAAACTATTTTCTGAAAGTGAAGGTTGAAAATGTATGTTTTTCTTTATGAGTGATTTTGTTTATTTTGCTTTTATTTGTCTCCCATGGGAGTATTGTGTTGTACAAAGGGCTGTACTTTAACACAGTGCATGTGTGTGCCACAGCAACTGTGTACTATAACACAGGTGGTAAAAAAAATTCTAATGGTGTAAAAGGTTAGAAGGAAAGATTAATTTAAAAAGTAGCTAACATCCAATTAATTTATAGCTACAAGGTGAAAGTATGGTTGAAGTGAACAAATACCAAACTAAAATGCAATCTTGCAAATGTGGCAGGATGTTTGAGGTGCTTTAAAGCAAGTTGCAGTACTGTTGAAATTAGATTTTCAAGGTTTGTGGGTGTGTGTCTGCAGCTTTTTGCAGTTTCGAATCACATAACATCTTCTTTGTTAAAAAGAAGCTCTCTCAAAGAGGTTTGAAAAAATATCCTAATATTCACACATCTCTTTTTGTTTTTAGAGGCACACTATAAGGAGAAGCTGCAGCGACGCTGCTGTAAAGACGGCCTTAGGGACATTCCAATGCCATACTCCTGCACCAGGCGCTCCCTCTACATCACCGAGGGCCCAGAGTGCATCCTGGCTTTCCGCTACTGCTGCGCTACTTACAGGGACCAGGTTTTCAACACAGAGATTCCTACTACACCTCCACCCATGACCACTCCTCCCCCAACAACCACCTCTTCACCAAGTTACCGTTTACATCATTTCCATAAGTTGCCAAGGATACCTCTTGGAGGTAGAGGTAAATACTCAGAATGTAGTGAATTTCTGCGAAGATGTGACTTTAAACATATCTACATTAAGTAGTTTAATGACTTTAAGATAACAAAACACGTCTAAATATATTTCTAAAGTTGTTTTCTAAAAGAAAAAAAAAACTTTAGACATCATCTCTTAGCATGCACATAATATATATGTACTGGTATTAGTTTTTTTGTAATTTATCAATATTCATTTAAACAGGATGGAATCTTCGACCGGCAACACATAGAGAAATTGGTTTTGAATACAGTGTAGCAGCAAAGGCGCTGGAAAGATCACGTATGGAGGGTTCCCCTCCTATCGCAAGGTTTAATAAAGCTGAGGAGTATGTGGAGGAAGAAGAGTTTGAATATTTGGATGAAACACAGGTCTATCTTCGATCCAAGTTCTATGAGTCCTGGTTGTGGATGGATGTGAACTTACCAAGCGAGACAGACAAAGATGGGTGAGTGAACTATGAAAGCTTTGGCTACATCCTAAAAATAAGCCTCTAATGAATGTGTCATCTCATCTTACCCAATTAATGTCACCTTCTTTGGTTGTTCAATTTACCCCTTTGATATGTTCGATTGTTTCTTACATATTATTTTATTATCGTCTTATTATATATCGTTCTTATTATCGTCTTATTATATATCGTTCTTAGTCATCCAGGTCATAGTCATTCCGAAGAAATTAAGAACAATCCACTGGACTTGGTTTCCAAGTTTGAAGACATTTCGCTTCCCATCCAGGAAGGTTTTTCAATTCAAAATGTCAGGAACAGCGTTGAGTTCGAGGTTTTATACAGTAGCCCAACAAAGGCTTGTTTTTCTTTTGAAACAATGCAAATTGGAACAGACGAACGGGGGTCGTTTGGCCTTTTTTGTTAGACTGCAATACCCCATACCCATCTAAGTGTCTGAAAGGTAGGTTGTTAAAGGGGATTGTCGGACTGGTTGAATAGACGAGGTCCTCTACTCTCCTGTACAGGGGGTGGGGCTGCGAGGATTTTTGGAAGCTGGAACCTGAGTCTGTTAAAGGTTGGTTTTTCTTTCTTAACATAGATGGCTTCTTTCACGCCCCTCTCAAACCACCTATTTTCTTTATCCAAAATGTGAACATTCTGGTCCTCAAAAGAATGTCCTTTGTCCATAAAGTGTAGCTGTACTGCAGAGTCTTGTCCCAAGGAGGTCGCTCTTATTTGTTGGGCCATGCGTCTGTAGAGAGGTTGTTTGGTTTCTCCAATATAAAGATTAGAGCATTCCTCACTGCACTAAACTGCATACACCATTCCGCTCATATTTGGTTTGAGGGTTTTATCTTTTGGATGCACTAGCCTCTGTCGAAGGGTCTTGTTAGGTTTAAAATGTACTGGTATTTTGTGTTTGGAGAAAATTCTCTTGAGTTGTTTAGGGACTCCAGCAACATATGGGATGGAGATGTTTTTGCGTTTGATCTTCTCACCATTATGTTCTGCTGTGTGTCTTTTGGATTTCCATGCTGATTTGACAAATGCCCAGTTTGGGTATCTACAGCTTTGAAAAGCATCTTTGATGTGTTTCTGTAATGTAAATTAAGGTCATTTTCATTGATGGTCCTTTTGAGAGTTGTTAAAGACAGCTCAATAACTAACTGTTAAAATAACATAATTTTACAAATATACAATAAAATTATAATAATAGTATTGAAACCACTCATGGGCTGTAACAGATGTAAGAATTATGCAAGATCATGCAGTTTTTTATGCTGAAGTATATTTAACTGCGTCATCTGCATAAATGTACATATGGGTGATTTTGCATAGTGCAGGAAGATTGCTCATTTTAAGTAAAGAGAGTATCGCTTCTAGTTCGGAACCTTTTGGGACTCCCACAAATCACATCTGATGCCAATTTGACACCCTGGAGCCAGACACATTGTAATCTATTGGTAAGACAACATTTAAACTAGCTTGTGGCTTTTTCTAAAAATCAAAGGAATTAATTTGGTAAAAATGTGTTTTGGCTCCGAAGAGGGCTCTTTGACATGCTTTTTTGCTCCCAAGAGGGCTCTTTAACATATTCTGATTCCAGAGAAGACTCTTTGACACAAGTTTTGGCTCCTTAACATCCATTTAAGCTCACAAGAGTGCACTTTATCATGTACTCTAGCTTTCAAGAGGGCACTTTAACACCCATTTTAGCTCCCAAGTGGGTACTTTTAAATGTGTCTTGGCTCCAGAGGGGGCACACCTACCATCCATCCATTTTTTGTCACGATTCATCAGTGCTGGGGCCACGAGGGGTACTGGTGCCTATCTTCAGCTCCCTACAGGCAAGAGGTCGGGTGCATAGTATGCCAGTCTATCGCAGGGCAACACAGAGACAAACACAAATTAGAGAAGCAAATTAGTGAAGCCAATTACCCTAAGATGTCATTATTTTTGGACTGTGGGAGGAAGCCGGAGTACCCATAGATAACCCACGCATGCACAGGGAGAACATGCAAACTCCATGCAGAAAGACCCCGGGCTGGGAATTGAACGCTGAACCTTCTTGCTGCAAGGCAGCATTGCTACCCACTGCTGCACCGAGCAGCTCAAGAGGGGGCACACATTTTTTTGAAAATTGGACCACAAGGGAGGCAACCGCTTTTCCTTTAGCTTTGTACTTATTATTTATGTTATTTATTGTTACTAGTCAGACTTAGTCAGACTAATAGATCACATGTATATAAAGTACATCAGAAAAACTATCAAACATGAATCAATTTAAATCTACATTTAATCAGTATTTATAACAAAAAATGATTCCATAAACATAAAGTATGTAGACAAAAACCTATGAATGGGTTTATCCTTATTTAGCAGACCACACACATATGCAAAAATAAGATTAACGTTTAAACAAGGATAAAAGAAAATTAAGTCCCAGTCTATTATAACCCTGTTTTATCCATCCAGTGAGTCACCTAATAGTCTTTAGTTCAACGTTTTAAACCTGATCACAGTAAATTAGATCTTAAAAAACTGTTGATACTATTGATACTTTTAGAAACATCTTAAAGAAAAAGCAGCAGATTCAATCATATAACTGGTTTTGTGTCTTTCTTACTGCTTGATATTTCCAATTCTCTACTCCTTCACAGTTTATGCTACAATGTATTGTACAGTGGCACTATTGCTCCAAGTACAGTCTATTGATAGGGGTTTTCATGCAAATATCCTTGTTTTGTGTCAGCAGGATATAATGAAAGTGTAAATTTATTATACAGGTTGGCACTGAAAAATATGATAAATCCTTTACCGGACAGCATCACAGAGTGGGGAGTTTTGGCCATTAGTGCATCACCTGAAACAGGTATGGCTGCAGGAATGTGAGGCACAAAATACTCTCTATAAATTTCACTTTATTCTTCAGTGTTAAATGATATTTGGATTTTCTAAATCATCAATCGCCCTTTTTGCCCTGCTGTATCTTAAATACATTTATAGGGTTTTAAAGCACAGTACGTATTTGCACATTATCGTAAAAATATATGTTTGTGTAATGGTAGACCAATTTGTTAATGCTTCACAAAAGAGACTGGTTGTATCAATCAAGAAGCCATAAGTAATGGAAATATGATCACCATCTGACTGCAGGTTTCTGTGTTGCGGAGCCGTACAATTTCAAAACTTGGAAGCATTTCTTTGTCGACCTTAAGCTCCCATACTCTGTGGCAAGGAACGAACAAGTGGAGATTAAAGCTGTCGTCCACAACTATGGCAACGATGAGATGCATGTAAGAGACAATCCATGCAATCTTTTTTAATAATTTCTTCTTCTTGTTGCTCATCTTCCTGTGACCTCTCCCTGCTCAGGTGAGGGTGGTGCTGATGAAGACAGAGGGCATGTGCAGCGTTGCTTTCAAGGAAAGACACACGCAGGAAGTGACTCTGCCAGCGGGCTCTTCTGTGGTGGTGCCTTACACCATTGTACCACTGGTGGTGGGCAAACTTCCATTGGAGGTAATGGTGGTTGGCAGAGACTTGACAGGCGGCGACCGCATACAGAAGTTTCTGCGAGTTGTGGTAAGTCACTCAGCTTTGAATCAAATTTGTATTAACTTGACTAAAATAGAATTATTGCATCACTCTGAATTAATAGTAAATAAACAAACTTGAATAAATACAGTTATTTCTTATATCTTGATATTAAAACAAAATTCCAATTGTTTTTAGTTTATTAACTTCTCATGACCCAAACAGCTGGATGGAGTACAGAAGACTGAAGTTTGGAGTACAGTGTTGAATCCATCTGCTCAAGGAGGCATGTAGTCTTATTCTAAAATGCTACATCTATAGGATTTTAATGACAGGATCCTCTTTTTTATCACTTAGTTTTCACAATTTTTACAACTCTTTTCATTTCTGCTCAAACTTGTCAGCTTGTGATCATATTTTCTTTACAGTGAGAGATATGCAGTACAAAAATAGGGCTAGAGAAAATTCTTGCTAGATTACTTTTTCAAACATCAATGTACGGTATATTTGGTTCCATGCACTGCAGGAACTCAGACGGTTCGTATCGGTAAAGTGGAACTGGAGTCAGTGGTGCCAAACTCTGTGCCTGAGACCTTCATTAATGTCAGAGGTCAGTTTACCAAACCAGACAAATGAGTCTGTGATTTTAAAATGATAAAACTGAGAAACAATCATTAAATGTTCCTTTAATGTCTCCATCCAGGTAATGTTTTGGCAGACAGCATTGAAAACTCCATCAGCGAGGATTCCCTGGCATCTCTCATCCAGATGCCCGGTGGATGTGTGGAGCAGAACTTGGCCTCAATCACTCTACCACTTATTGCCACTCTCTATCTGGATCGAACCGAAAACTGGGACAGTGTAGGAGTGGATCGCAAGGCGGAGGCTCTCCGATACATCAGGAGAGGTTAGACAGCGATGAGGGGATATTAAGCGTTTTGTTGATATACAGTAAAAATCTGATGAATGGAGGCTTTGATGATTTTTTATTCCACAAGATTCAATGAGCATCAAATTCAAAGATAAGACACATTTAGGATCTATCTGAATTCGATCACTTCCTGATGGATTTCTAATAGATGGTTATAGTTGTTTATTTTTTGACACCTAAAGGTTTAATGTTTCACTATGTTCCATCTATCCAATATTTAATTTTGCTGTCAAATTTTTTTTAAGGATATGAGAACCAGTTAGCCTACAGAAGGAGTGATGGGTCATACCCCCCCTACAGGCGTGAAGGAGCAAGTACTTGGTAATTCTATAATATATTTATGCATCTGACAGCAAAAGTCGCCAGAGACCACAGGACATAATGTTATTGCTCATTTTTGTTTTTGATGGTTTTCTATCTCACGATAAAACAGATCAAAAAAGCATTTGAAATATATTTTCCTGCTGTAGCTGGATCTAAATTAAGACTCAAAACATGCAGGAGGAGTTATAGAGTTTACAAATTTATCTAGTCCCTTACACTCCCACTTCACTTGAAAGGATTTCTAAATGTGTGCAGGCCCAAATGTTTGCTCATTTCAGGTTCATTTTGCAGGATTACAGCGTATGTTGTCAAGGTTTTTTCGATGGCTCACTCGATCATCAGTATCTCAGAGCAGCAAGTGTGTGACCCTTTGCTCTACCTGGTGAAAAACAAAATCAGACGTTCGAAAGGAGTGTACAGGGAGGACAACCCAGTTTATTCAACCACCATGACTGTGAGTCCTTTCAAGAAAACACATAGTTTGTCTTTTTTTTAACTGGCAAGTTTCTTTGTTACTTTCTGCTTTAATAAAGTAACAAACCTCTGGATTAACCATACCTTTTAAATTTTTCAATGGTCTATAGCTCTGTGACATGGGATTATTTTGTATTACTTCGGGATTATCAATAAAAACTTCTCAAATTCCTCACTAGTCACAAAACTCAACCGCTATGTTTGATCATTCTGAATGAATCTGAAACATAAAGAAACCATGTTTTTATACCTCTTTGGCCTAATATAAGTTTTGTAAAATAGTAACACAACGACATAAAAAGCAGAGAAAGAGAAAACAGGCTAACATCAAATAAAAAAATAAGTATTATGGTATAGCAACAGACCGTTGATCTTTCTCTACATCTCAAAGTCTTCAGGTTTTGAATTTTATATTAAAGCCCCACTTTTCTGTCTGTTTTGCAGGGTGGTCTGCGAGGCGATGACCCAGAAATAACATTGACAGCCTTTGTCCATATTGCGATTTCTGAATCCATGAAGGCAGGGGTCCGTTGTGGCAGTCCAGATGTGGAGGTAATCTAAACATACAAACATGAATAAGCATTGTCTTGTTAATAGCTTGTATTTTGATTATTACTTGTGGAATTTTTCGAGGGCTCCTAATTTTTTTAGGTTATTTTAAATAATGATTTCTGTAATAATAGTAATAATTCTTATTATTATTAAGATATTGTTTTATATTAAATAGCTAGACTGATAAGTGTAATTTGAGTGTAATACTTTGTAGAGAAAATAACACCCTCTGGGAACATAGTTAAATGAACACCAGTGGCTCAGCTACACACTGTATATTTTCATATTTATTTATATCTGCGAAAAAAAATGTCAAACCCTAGGTAGAATGATGTTTAGCTTGATCTCAACAGATTTCATGTTGACTTTTGCATTCATGTCTCAATAAATATATATTCTCCTAATTTAATTTCTGATCAAATTTATCAGAAGTAATTTTGGTTACTGAAGGAAATTCTCTGTGATGTCATCTTCTTGTCTGCTGTAGGAAGCTATTACATGGACTAATCAGTTCCTGAGCAAAGCCCTACTGACCAGTGGAAGGAGACCCTACACAGTGGCCATCACCTCCTACGCTCTGGCTCTACAAGGAACATATGACGTTCATGTCGCTTTACTTGAAGCAGCATCTCGAGGTTTTATATTATTTCTGCTTTATATGATAAAGGCACTAGATTTGACATTGCTTCAGTGACAAATGAGAAGGCTTTGATTTGCCTGACCTTCATGTGCAAAAAGCACAGGCACATCAGCCTTTATTTATTTAAGCTCACGTTGTCTTCTTTTCCACTATCTTACTTGGTTGATTATTTTCCTTCACAAGTCAAAATAAATTAAAATTCTTTAGGAAAAAAGTAAGTGAAGGTGATATATCAGCTGTTCATTTTTTGTTTTCTTCCCCATGGTACGTACGATATGTCTATGAATAGGCCTTATTGCTCGCTCGCAACTTTTCATGGAGGCAAAGCGTAAATCACTACTGGTGTGCTATACTCATAATGCCTGTCTATCCTCTGCTAAACTCATATAGATAGAAGCCACTGGCCTGACAAGGAAAACCACTTGTTCACACTGGAAGCCACTGGCTATGCTTTGCTCACACTGGTAAAGATGGGACGCATGGAGGAAGCTGCACTGCCCTTCAAATGGCTCAACAGTCAAAGGAGAAGAGCAGGAGGCTTCGGTTCAACTCAGGTACCAGCTTAGAGTGGTCTATTGTTCCTTTATTGAAGCATACTGAATTAATTGCCTTTATTGTTTTGTAATTATGTACAACACCATACATGGGGTGAAGGATTCCTGAAGCTGCAGCCTTTGAAGGCAGTGTCCTTGGGTTAGAAGCTAGTTAATTGCTCACACAAGAAGATGAGGATAAAGAAATTAAATCGCACACCCTGCCTTTGACAAGGCACTTATACGAAAGCTTTTTGCATAGAGCATATGAGAGCACATAGATGCCAGTGAAGTGGAGTGCTCCAACCTCTCCTGATCTCGTCTGACCTGCTTCACCTTATTTGAAAGCAGCTGAGGATCCTTCGGAAACTTAAATAAGCCTACAGCATCCTTATGGGGGTTGAAGCAAATGCAATGTGAAGGTATAGCTTTACTTAATGCATGATATCTTCTGCAGCTGTCCATAAAAAAAAAACACTGTTCAAACTCTCAGTCATTCTGCTGTATGTGTCGTATATTTTCATCCTCTGTCAATGAGTGGCACTAGAGTCCTCTGAATTGCAGTATTTATTTTGATAAAAAAAAAAAAAGTTTTGGTAAAAAATGTTTCTTTGCTAGAAACTCTCAATGGCAAAGTTCTAATCATACAGATTTCCACAAGTCATTTACGCCTTGTGGATCATATAATTTTCTCCTTGTTTCCATTTTATCTGCTGGACCTGGATCCACAAACTAGTCTGTGACCCTCAGAAAGTAATCTCCTCCAGAATGTGATTGTGATTCATTAGTGTCTGAGTGCTGATAGTTTGGCATATTCCATCACACATGGCGGGCAGCCTCAATGTAGCCTGAACGGCTGCTGACACCTTCCATATTTTACAATAGAGAAGGAATCTGCCATGTCCGTTAAGCAGAGATCCGACAATCAATTCAATCATCTACACAGTTTGAAGTCCTCAACTGACAGTTAAGACAGGAACATTATCTTCCACTTCCCCCAGGAATCCATAACATGCCCGGCAGCATGTGTCCCCTCTGTGCAAGAGGGACCTCTTCCACCCATAGTCGCCATGGAGCAAAAATTGATCAATAGCATAGAGAGACCAGCTGATCAGATCAGTAATTTCTAGTTTTTTGAGAATATTGATCTATGAAGTTATGCCCATAGGTTTTAGTATATCTACAATATTTTAATGAAATTAATTATATTTTAATCAGCATGTTTATTCTGACTGGAAATAACATCAATGGTTTGGAGTGTAATGTGTAATCTTGGATCTTGTGAAGAATCTGTAGAGGTTGCTACAGATTAGGGTAATGGCAAGGAGGCCTTCCAACTAAAAAGACTTGTAAATTACCAACCAAAATAAATAATAAAAATAGCAGAGGAAAAATGCTAAAATCTGGTCAGCATTGAAAATATTGAGAAAGGTTCAAATAAATTCTATGACGAATATAATAAGAATGAGGAAGTGCTATTTTTTATGACATCTAAAGGAAAGTCCATTTTCCTGCTTCCTTTTTTAGGGTTTGCCAGATAATCATGATCACTTACTCACAGATGAGCAGAGTTTTTATGCCAGATATCCTTCCAATACGAAACCAAAAATGACCTGGGTCCCCTTTATCAAGGACATAGACACGTACCACCAAACCACAGAAAAATCTATGATATATGACATCATCCTTAATGCTGTATTTTAATTTTGTTAAAGTTGTATTATGTTTCCTTATATTAACAAAATGTATGCAGATGTGGACAGATTTTTTTCTTTACTTCCAATGGCATATTCTCTTGCAGTCCACCATGGTGGTGCTCCAGGCTCTGTCAGAATACATGATCAATCAACCTCCTCCTGCTGACCTCAGTCTGAATGTGGACATCAGGTTGACGGGACGCAAGGAGATCCGTTACCACTTTAACCCTAATACGGCCTATGCTGCTCGCTCCTCTAAAGTAAGTCATGTAATTGCATGATTAAAACAAACAATACAATTGATGGTTGTCAGAGGACAAAGTGAATTTATTTTCTACCACAAGAGTAGTGAAAATGGTTTTCTTTTCTTTTTTATTTGAAAATTCTCCTTCTTTGTTGCACTTTCTGTGTAGTTGCCTGCTGGTATGGACTTGGAAGTGGTGGCTCAAGGGAATGGGCAAGGAATACTGGAGGTATGAATATTCACGTAGTGAGCCTTTCATTGTATGGTGCATCTCACTGATCAAGAACCCTAAACGTAAATTTAAGGTCATAGTTTATAGAGAAAACCCAAAATGTTAAACAGATTCATTACATTGATTGATTCATTGACTTTATTGATCTTGCAGTGGAGAAATTCACTTTGTAACATTGGCTCAATAGACAGAAAGTCCCTAAAGGAGGAAAAGGTTCTTGTGGGATATATACAGTGCATACAGTGCATCCACACACACATATATATATATTAAAAGAAATAATAATGTTTTCTCACCCCTCGTGGGGTGGTATGTGTCATCCTCAAGCTCGGGTCCTCTACCAGAGGCCTGGGAGTTTGAGGGTTCTGCGTAGTATCTTAGCTGTTCCTAGGACTGCACTCTTCTGGACAGAGACCTCTGATGTTTTACCTGGAATCTGCTATAGATAGATAGATAGATAGATAGATAGATAGATAGATAGATAGATAGATAGATAGATAGATAGATAGATAGATAGATAGATAGATAGATAGATAGATAGATAGATAGATAGATAGATAGATAGATAGATAGATAGATAGATAGATAGATAGATAGATAGATAGATAGATAGATAGATAGATAGATAGATAGATAGATAGATAGATAGAAAACAGCTAAAGTCTCTTATTTAACAGGATTATTACTCAGAGTCACTAAGTCACTGCGCAGGGTATTAAAAGGGTATTTACATAAATAGATATTTATTTATATAGTTATTGCACGGGGTATTAAAATAGTGATTGCGCATTAGTTATTGCACCTGCTATTACAGTTGTAGTGTTGCACTGTAAAGTCTTATGGCAGCAGGGATGAATGACCTGCAGTAGTGCTCCTTTTTACAAACAGCATGTAAAAGACCTGCACAGGTCCTCTACAGTCTGGTGGACAGGGTCAAATGTGTTGTCCATAGTGTGAATATATGGTATTTTAAGCATTTATTACTGTTTATGTTTGTAATTACTAATGAAAATCTCCACATTCAGTTTTTAGAAAACACAAACATTGCAAAAAAAAGTAAGACTTTATTAATTTGAAAACACTGGTCATCAACACAGCCATAATACAATAAGACTACCGGTAATCGTTTTTAATAAAGAAATGTAATTCATAGCCTGCAGGGGCATGAAGATCACTGATTAGGTTGCAATTGGTCGAGCACACAGAATGAGGCTGACAGGGGAAAAGGTGATAGAAACTGCAGATATACTTTGGGAGATGCACCTGTTTATAAAATCCAAGTGAACTGACTATTAAAACATATTTATAAGAAAGTGTTTCTTTAAATGTAATTTTCATTTCTAATCTTTTCTGTTTAGGTTGTGACTCATTACAACCAGCTACATGAAGTTGAAGAGAAAACACCCTGCAGCCACTTTGAGCTCAGCGTTGATATAGAAGAATCCAGTGGTAACTGAACACACCATCTCACACATTCAGACTTTAAAATCTATATTCAGCATATAAATACTGCTATATTCAGACTACTGCTTTTTTTTTTAATTTAATTTAAGGTTTAATGTTTTTAATAAAATTGATGAAGATACCTTATTCTGAAAATTAAAAACTTTTCCCTGCAATTTAACTAGTTATTTTTAAATATATTTTAAATAATTACCAGAAGGCTAATAAGGACTAATAAAGACTAGTTAGGAAGTATTATGTAGTGTAGATCCATTTAACTGACTGCCACAATTTAAAGGTTTTATCCATGAAGAAAGATGCAATAAAAAAAAAAAAAAAAACAATTCAAAATTGTAACTTCAGAAACAAATAGTTTAATTTGATAACAACAGAGATACATCCATGAGTGAAAAGAAAATTAAGCTTGTGGGGGTTATACAGAATGTTATATCTCCACAAGCTTACTATTTTTCGAGCTCACTTTCAAAATTACTGATTGGGAACTCAGCAGAAGAACACATTCAAATTCAGGGGAAATTCTCATAAATCGGGAGATTTGGCAAGTCTGTTAATAGCTGTAGTTATAAAGCTTCTTTTAGAGAGACTCCAAAGGACTACATTTAGTCCTTCCCACTTTTACACTGACATTCACACACTGATGGTGGAAAGCTAAATCCAGACACCATTGGGCCATCTGACCACCACCATCTCACCGCCAACATTTTTTAGGAGCTCCGGCAGCAGTAATGTCATCGTAGATATCAGATTTGTAATCCTTAAACTGCAAAAATATTGGAATCTGTGCTTAGATGTCAGCCAAACCCATTTTCACAGGGAAGGATAAATCCTTTCTGTAAACCAAACATTACCTGTGACACATCTGACTCAATAACCATTTAGAATAAATATTTTCATTAATTTAAGACAAAAATATTAAAATACTTTATACTTTGTATAAAGTATAAAGTGATTTGAGCCAAAAATAATCAAATACTTTAAACTTTGTATTATATTAAACTCATAATAATAAGTGACTGCAGCTGTGATACAAGTAATTATGAGGAATCATAAATCCAAGTCAAGAATATTAGGGAAATATGCCATGATGTAACTTTGAGGAATGCTTTGCTTGAAAGAAACACAAGGATCAAACATCTGTGAAATGTCTATGCATATTAAGGCTTTATAAACACAAAAACATTTTATCATATGGTAGAGTGTTAATAAAGAAAATAATGCTTTAAAACCTTATATGAAAATACTGTATTATTATTTTTCCCGCCCAACACCAGAAAAGCCACCAGCTGATGTAGAAAAATCCTACCAGATCAGCATCAAAGTGAGGTGAGTCCTTCTGATACATGAAAACATTGATACAAATACAGCATGCAGATTAAACGATTTTTAGAGTTTTAAATATGAAATGAATGAAACTTTAAAAAATCAACAAAAGTTATCTAGATATGTGCTTGAATTATCTTTAAAGATCACCCTATCCTGTAAAATTTCTTTCTTAGCATCCTGGTCTATCTGTGTGTCCTTAGATACAGTAAATTCAGGCACCTGCTTGCAAGAAGTTGCTGCTTTAAAGGAAATCCAATTATTCTATGAGTAGGAGTGAGATATAATTGCTCTGAAGTTTTACTCAAACATAAATGGAAAACCTCCAAAAGCAGGCACTGTTGTAGCTGAACCACTTTAACAGACTCCTTTTATAGTGAGAAGTAGTGACTCTTCTCTAAACTTTGGAAGATGACACAGGCTTCCACCTATTGGTAAGAATAAGCTCAAAGTTAAGTTGCTCTTCTCCACTCTGTCTATCCTTCTCCCACTACATCCTGGCGCAATCTTGACTAGGTTCTTAGATACTTGGCTCAGGTGCTTGAGAAGAATTTACCCTGACCTGGATAGTGTAGCCTAACCTGACTCCGGAGCAAATCCATCTGGAAACCATCTGGAAACCTTCGGTTGAAGTAATTTTGAGAAGGGGCGAAAATACTGGTTAGCTGATTGGCCTATGTTGGTGATAGACGGGCCAAATAAACCAATCAGATCAACAAAGCATATGATGTACTAACAGAGCGACGACGAAAACACAACCACAAGCCAGGCTACTCTTGCCGAAACTAGTCGGGAGAAGAGCAAAACCATCTTTTCCTCTGAGAAAAGCCTTTAGAGCAGTGTTTTGCTCTTCTTTCAGTAAAGAAATACTCTGTAATTCTGATAAAACTTGCTCTATAGCCACGCTAACGCTAGTTTCATCGGCTGAAGCCGCCATGTTCTTTAGACGGAACTGTCGCGCTTCTCGTTGCGTCACACCTCAACCCGCCTCAAAGCCAACGCTGATTGGACGTTCGTTTGGTGAACGGCTCCAAATTATCTTTAGTCTCCAGACTGATCTGCGAGTGAAACCTTGAAAGCTCGCGAGATCAGGATGGTCTCACGAGGCTAAGAGTAACCCACCAAAAACCAGTAATCATGTTCTCAAATATGTTTTCTTTGGCTATGTGCTACAGGGCTTTGGGACCTAGAGATGTCAGAATGGTGGTTCTTGACATCAGCCTGCCCACTGGCTTCACCCCAGAAAACTCAGACCTGGAAATGGTAGTAAAACTTTAATGCTTTTTTGAAAAGAAAAACACCTTGATGCAGTTTATTTTGTATTTATCTTATTATGACAGGATGTTACAAAGGGATACCCAACTCCTGAGGCCAGGGTTATTAACATTTCTAAAATATATACACTGTATTTTTTTGTTTAGCTCTCTAGCTCGGTGGATCATTACATCAATAACTTCCAGATCGTAGATAACCTGAGTGACAGAGGATCCCTGATCATTCACTTGTTCAAGGTAAAACCTGATAGTTCAAATTCACATTTGCCAGTTCATTAAAAACCTTAGAGCTTCACCTGTTCTTGTGCATTTTTATTAGAACTGATTGCATTTACTTTCCTAACCATATTTAATATTTTGAGAGTATATGAAATAGCATGTTTGATTGCACAAAGCAATATTATCTTCTCTGCCAAACTGAATCTCTCCCCTTTTTCTTCCTTTCAGGTTTCTCACAAAGAGCCTGAAATTGTTATCTTCAGGCTTCAGCAGACCTTTAAAGTTGGTCTCCTGCAGCCATCTTCTGTAACTGTTTATGAATATTACAACCCAGGTAAGTAAATATGAAGAAGTGTTTCACAAGCGTTTAGGGAAGTACTTGTGTTAATCTGTATATCAACACTGCCTGCTGAAAGTATTCAGAACTGTTGCCCAATACTGATCTTTATTGCTATTTATTTTTCTCATTATTTTTTTATCTTATAGTCTATTTTTTTTTGGTAGTTTTCGGTTGTAATTTAACAAAGATATTTACAAATTAAAGAAGCATTTAATGCTTCTGCATGGTAGTTTACCTCATTTCTTTGTATGAAGTTTGATCTATTGGAATTATGGTGTTTATCTAAAATATAATAGTTTCTTCTTTTTATACTGCAAGCTCAATTTTACATAACTATCTCTTTTAAATATTTTTAAAAATCCCTCAACTTTCAGATCACAGATGTAGCCGCACCTACTCTCCCAAGGAAGACACGGAGGAACTCTCTCGGATCTGCAGCAACGACGTTTGCCGCTGCACGCAGGGTAACGGGTGATTTTACCTCATGCATAAAATCATTACGTTCTTTTGCTGCTGAGCATAAATCTACCATTAAACTGTGTTGAATTGCAGGCGACTGCTGTGTCTCAAAATCTGAAGGTGAACATTTCCTGAACCACGAAAGAGAGATTTTCGCCTGTGCAAGCTTACACCATGGTATGATTCAGGGTTTTAAACTGATGCAGATGATGCAGGCATGATGCATACAATTTAGTTCAGAAAAAGGTTATTTAGGTAGACTGAACCATTTTAATGATTAATATATTCTGTGCTTCAGTTTGGCAGGTGCTGGTCCTCAGTTTGAATCAGAGCTACTATGATAAATATGAGATGGAGATTACACAGGTTATTAAACTTGGTGAGTGAACATTGTTGTATTGGTTGGCTGTCTAAACATTCACAAAAGTCTCACATTTGTACATTGTGAACTATCAACTGAATTACATGGGCTACTTAAATAATTTATGTTATTTTTTTATATTTTGTTTTTTTGTAAAATATTTTGTGTTAAATTTTATTTCAATTTACTATTGTTTGCAAACTCCTATTTTTTTTCCCGTTACATGCTCTTAATCCATGGCAAAGAATAATAGACACCAATTCTAGGCATTGAATTTAACCAAAAATTCTAATGATAATAATAGTTTAAAACAGTTTAAAAACATGGAAATGATGAATATCATACTGGTTTCTACAAACTCTAGTTTATTTACATTTTTGATTTACAATTAGGATTTTTGAGATGTGAAAAGCAAAATGAGACCATAGTAAATATCCAAAATATTTTCCCATCTTTAATGTAAAATACAAATGAACCCCTTTGCATGTTGGGAGCTGCCCTAAATATCCTTCACTTGTACAGTCATTTCTGTATGGTGTTATAGTAAACATTTTTAGGGACCACTTATTAAATCTCATGAGCTGTTTTAATCATCCTTTTTAGGTCCCCAAACAGCTCTTGACTGTCACCAGGGTCAATTTCACTTCTACACTCAACTGCAAGACAAACTAAATGGCTGTGGTTTAAAAATTGTGTATTTGTATCTAAAAGTAGTTATGAAGGGTTTGTGTGTCCAATCTTGTTTACTCAGAAGAAATTATGTCTTTTTAAACTACATCTAACAAAAATGCCCTATGTATTTCAATCTTTATTTTCCTTAAATCACAGGGTTATGTTTCTTTCTGTTGAATAACATGGGATTTTTTTTTAATTGAAATTGTAAAATCTTTAATTTCTCTTTTTTATTGAAGATTTCAGGGTCACATAAGTATGTCCTTTTTAATTGGTGTGTATATTGATTAGAGACGCTGTTATTAAACTGTTAATGTTTTTTATTTATATACCTGCAATTCAGGTGTAGAATCTGGGGTTGAAGTTGGTCAGAAGAGGATTTTTATGTCTCATGGTGGCTGCAGAGAAAGACTCAACCTGAAACAAGGCTCCCAGTATGTCATTATGGGTCCTAAAGAGGACCAGTGGACCACTTACCCTGATAACAACAGGTGAGCAAGTATGATGTTGTTAATACTAATAACTCTGGATTCTAACTCTATATTCATTCCTACTAGCCCTTCAGAAAAAGTTGTGTGTTCAATTCTTATGTTTTTTCCCCCTTTTTTTCTACAAAACTGGTTCAAGTGCTAAATTAAGTAGAGCAGGCCTCCTGGTTAGTGTTGTGACTGTATTTTAATAAGCAAGCATGTAGCCAATTCAATTCAGTTCAGTTTAGTCATATAGCACCAATTCACAGCACCTTTCATCTTGAGGCACTCTACAGAGACAATTCAACCAGATCACACAGTCACATTAGTTCAGAGTTTTATATCTAAGGAAAACCAGTTGATTGCATTGACTCGGATTCGAAGGCAATCCCTCACACCTAGCATGCTTGTAGTGACAGTGGAGAGGAAAAACTGTGTTTTAACTGGAGGAAACCTCAAGTGGAACCAGGCTCGGTGTGAGTGGCAATCTGCCAAGGGAAACTGTGGTTCAAGGAGAGAGAAGCAGACGTACAGAGAAAAACAGAGATAAAAAAGGCAACTGTTAACCAACTGTACAGGCGGCCCTAACTATGAAAAACACAGCCAGGCAGATGAGCTCTGAGCCAGCTCCCATGTCAGAGGATGAAAAACAGACCAAGCTCAAACATCTATAAACAAAGGTGTTGATGGCAGCAGCACAGCTGATATTTCTCTCCTGGATGGTATCACAGCCAAACAGGAACAGACAAGGTGAAGCTACTATGAGATAAGCAGAGAGCATAACGTTAGAGATTGAACTAACAAATTCTGCACAATGGGAGAAAAGAGATAGAATGAAGTTGAATGATGAAAAGGGGTCCCTATGTCCTCCAGTAGTCTAGGCCTATAGCAGCATATAACTATAAAGAAATCACTGGATAACCTTAATCACTCTAACTGTAAGCTTTATCAAAAAGTAGACAGGGTGTCTGCCTCACGGACTAAAACTGGTAGTTGGTTCCACAGGAGAGGACCCTATTATTAAAAGATCTGCCTCCCATTCTACTTTTAGAAGTTCTAAGAATCACTATATTTTCAAAACTATTTTCATCAGAACTCTGCTGCAGCATTTTGGATCAGCTGAAGGCTTTTAACTACAGTTAGTGGACTTCCTGATAGTAAAGAATTACAAAAGTCCAGCCTTGAAGTAACAAATATATGGACTAGTTTCTCAGCATCACCCCTGGACAGAATATTTCATTTTTTTTTTAGATATTCTTAAGATAGAAGAAGGAAACTCTTGAAACCTCTTTGATATGGGATTTAAATGATAGATCCTGAGCAAAATTAACACCAAGATGCGTTACTTTATTATCTGAGATCAATTTAATCAAGCTAATCAGCTTCCTTTTCAAAGACTCTGGTCCAAAGACATAACTTCTGTTTAGCATTCAAAATTAGAAAGTTAAGTTATTCAGGTTTTTATGTCTTCAAGATTTTCCTGTAGTCTATGTAATGGGTTGGTTTCATTTGGATTGTAGCTGCGAATCATCAGCATAACAGAGGAAATGAATCACATGCTGCCTAACAATTCTACCAGTTGGGAGCATATATATAGTAAAGGAAATTGGCCTTAGCAATGATCCGTTCAAGTTCTTTCTAAAAGAATATCGAAGAATCACACAAATATACACACCTAGATGATGAAATGATAAAGGAAGACAGATCTCTAAAAACAGTGAGTGAAGTGGTACATACCTTCAGAGAGGAGACAGTCAAATCCTCTAAATTGTATATTTAATATAGCAAAAGGGAAAATGCTTAACAAGTAGGGCTTTATGTACAGAGCAGCATAGCAGTGCAAAGGAATTCATAGGTGTTTGATGGGGTTAAAATAAAATGCTCTGGGTGATGGAGGCGGACTCTTTAAATGGAGCCAAGCCAAATAAGCCAGATATTTTGAATAAAGTGAACATTCCTTCACTATGTGGTACACTAAAACCATCGATATGATTTGTGAAATTTTTTGGGGGGGTTGAGTTGTTATATATGGTAGAAATCCAACCTCAAATGCACTTTGCTCTAAGCAGCTGTTAAACACATTCCTTTTTGTAAATATAGATGCAAACACAATACAGATTAATCAGCAGTTCTCTAAATGATCACATGTTCAATTATAATTGCTTCTAGAGTGGTAAACAGAAATAAAATTAAGAACACCAGGTTTAAGTAACATAGATTAACATGTATAATGGATAATAACTGTTTTTGCCTTTCAATGTGTTTTTGTATTTTTGCCCAGGTTTATCTACATGATGGGGAAAGACACATGGGTGGAGCGCTGGCCTTCAGATGCAGAGTGTTCCAGCAACCCCAGCATGCAAGATAAATGCAACAGTCTCAATAATGCTGCAAATGATCTGTCTGTGAATGGCTGCAGGTTGTAGCTGTATCTGACCAGAAGCCATACAACAGGTCTGATTATAGAGTAACTCTGTATATGCATCTCTGGAGGGAGGACAGAAGATGAAAGAAATTGTGTCTACCAAGCAGAGCATACAGTTATCACACCATAACATATGATTAGACTGAGGAACAATGATAAACTGTGATAAACCGTCCCACGAGAATATACTGCAGGTGTCCTATTGAGAGAAAAGCAAATGATCCCAACCACAAAACATCACACTTCTTAATCAGTTATTTCACTGTAGTATATGATGCTATAGTTATTACCGTATTAGAAAGTAGTAAATGTTAATATAATTAACCATATAAAAAACTGTCAAGCTAAATTTAGAACAATGTGTACTTAAAAGTGAAGAGATGTATTGACTGTCTGTAATAGTACTAAATGCTGGTGTGTAGTGCAAATGTAGAACATTAAAAATACATAAAAAACAACAAATTTAAAAGCTGATTTTAATATCTCTGGTTTGATTCAATGACAGTAAACTAAGGTTTGTAAAAGTTTTTCCGCAGAGAAAGTCGTCTCAAAATAAAATGTTAATCTGACAGGCAAATCCCATTGGGAATTACAGCACACTTCCTCACAGTCATTTATTTGCATTGCAAACAGGACAGTGGTTAAAAACTAATATTGTTAACGCAAAACACTTTTCAGCAGCTGTAGCATGACGCCTTAGCTGGTCTGACAGTATGAAAATGATTTATCCTAATAATTTGCACATGCGTTTTGCTGGTTAAAGGGAATATTTCATCAGCTTAACAACTTTTCCCTTTCAGATGTGAATCACAACAGTAAAATTCTGCTCTATGTTTGAACCCACAAATAAATAGAAAACTTCAAAGAAACAATAAACCGATTGCAACTCAATTGAAAATGCAGCTAAAAGTTTCTGATGAATGATGATGATGTTCACAGATCACCAAACAAGGTTACTGGTGCATAAGGTGAAATGCCACATGGGAACAAAGCAGTGATACCAAATTATCTAGCTCAGTGAGGATTATTTACATGCTGCCTCATCCGGACGGGATGAGGAAGTCAGGTTAAATGTTTAAGAGCAGTAGCTTTAAAAAAAATAAATAAATAAATCAAAATATAATTATTTTAAACATTTTTTGAGACAAAATAGCTTGTACAAAAATATTATAAATAAAAAGAAAGAAATTTTTTTTTTCTAAAATCTGCAAGTATTTGGTTTGATATATCTGCTTCAGCTCTGACCTTTATCTGTCCACTGATGCGGCCTCAAAGACTCCATTTTCTCTAAACAGTTGTGTTATTATTATACTTAACATGAGCCTGCTGTGCAGAGATTTGGTTAAATAACTGATCAGTGAATGAAAGCACAGACAATCTCCCGTTTGATAGATAACTGGTCTTTAAATATATATATTTATTTGAGATGAAGTAATGTAGCATTAAAAACACGATTAAAGGATGACTTGTAATCTCAGTCAAATTCACACTCAAACAAATGGAGAGGAAGTCAGAATTATGATATACAATCTGGTATACATTTTTGCATTGAGACAGCAGCAGATTTTGTTACTGATAAAATGCACATAAATCTAAAAAAGCAGGTAAAACAATGCTTTTTCAACCTGATCTTGTTGCTCTTGCAGGTGACATTGCTAAAGTCTTTATCCCTGAGCTTTTTGTTCTTTTACAAAGAGCTAATATTGGTGATAAAGCTGAGGAGTAATATAGGGAAAAGTATTTTGCAATAGTTAAACTGTTTCTGTAGACAAGGAGATATCCATCCACTTCACCGTTACTTCACAGATCTCCCCCCCTTTTCCTACATTTGTTATGTACTTTACCAGTATAATAGTAATAACATTTATGGGGGAAGCTAAATGTTGACATTTTGGTTCAACCTAATGAGTACCGGTGCTTCAGGTGATGAAATACGAGAAGAAAGGCTTGGTAACACATTCAGAGCAGTAGTTTTCAACCTTTTTCGGCCCTAAGAGCCACTTTTACACAAGGAAAGTGGCAGAGAGCTACTGATGTTTGGTAAAATTCATCTAACGGAAGCACATTTTGTTATAAAAAGAAGAGATTTTCAAAGTTCTTACCTTTACCTACTGATTTGGTGAGCAGAACTCAATTTTCCTATAAAACACTAAAACTTGTTTGCTGCAATGTAATGCTAAATAGACTATGCTTTTTTAAAACCCTTTGAAGAACTATTCAGGTAGTTAAGAGCTACTGGTAGCTCGTGAGCTAGAGGTTAGACCCCTGATCTAGAAGAATACCTCTATAGTTTTCTTCCTTTGGCACCTTCTTCTTCTCTTTTTGACTATTTGAGCTGCTGTAACGAGTACATTTCTCCCATGTGAGATCATTAAAGTCAATCAATGTCTGCTCAACATGCATGTTAATTGTCCGGCTTTGGTCTTTTGATTTTATTGATTGCACTGTACAATGCAACCGCATCCTCACCAGGTTCTTGGTCTTCAGTTCTGAAAAGACAACAACAGTGACAAAAGAAACAAAAACTCTGCATAAATAGTTTAAAATTGTTCTATTCTTCCATTTTACTTGGGGAAGCAAGTCTGTACCACAGATCTTAAAGAAGACGAACCTAATGAACAAGGTACTTATGGTGTGTAACTGACAGTGATCTTTAGGTCTACTTACCTCTGGCCAAAATTAGCAGTGGCAAATTTCACAGTGGCATACTCTACATCTGGATTCTCATCCTCCTCCTCATTAGATCTGCCAGTTTTAGCGGGTTGTAAATTTGCATAGATGGGATCTCTCTGCCTCCTCAAGAAACGTAGGCTGGCATATTGAACATCTTCCTGTATTTCTGACTGAGTGTGTTGGCACTGCAGAAACAAATGCATTTCATAATCTCAGAAATTTTCGCTCAAATGTGAAACTTAAGTAAAAATCAGTGTTTAAGACAGCTTTTTTTTTTAAAAAAAGCTTTAATGCCAACTATAGGGGCAGTTGCGACCCAAGTAAAGCAGGTTTGCTTTGGTTTCTTAACACTGACTGAACACATGAATTGGTCCTTGGCTTTTTTTCTCTGCTTCTTGGCTTCACCTCCTTGATCATTCCACTTTATTCACCATTAGGTAATGCATGAATGAATTAGTTTTGATGTGCTTGTATATGTTGATTGCTTGGTTTGTTACTAACACACTGCGAGATATTTATGCAAGTGGTCTAATTTCAAACATATTTACTGGGATTAAATGTTGGTTTCAACCTATGATGGTTGACCAAAAGGCTTATTGATTTTTTTTACCAAAAGTTTTATTACATCTCCCTCTAGCACTCCTGTCTCCATTTACAACAAACTAATAGTTGTATCTGCATCATTATCATAATGCAGTTCAGTGAAGAGAACATTGAACCTCACCCGTTCAATGTTGTTGGGGCTTTCTCCAGGTTTAGGAGAGGGTGTCGAGGATCTCTGCTTCCTGGTTGTTAGAAAAACTAGTTAGTCTTATCTACTCTTCCAGCAAGGACAATGCTGTTGTTCAATGCAAAAAATATAGATCAAAATAAATCCTCTTACCTCAATAAGAAGAAGACGATGAGAAATATGACAATCAGAAAAATAAAAACCATAGTTCCAATGACTGCTAGCTTTGATGGCCCTGAATAAGGAGAAATGCAATCAAACCAGATTGAGAGTTAAAGTTGATTCAGCAAAACAAACTTCCTTACCAGTTCTATTTAGGTATAGCTAAATCAGTCTGCAGCAAATGCTGATATAACTTGAATCAGTGCCTGTTCTCCTCAGACCGTGTTTAACCTCAGGCTTCACTAACTACATGGTAGACGTATAATTTAGATGAAAATGAGAAACATTGCAATAGATCTGAAGAGGTTTACCTGCAACAACAATCACAGATATGGTGGCGTTCTGATATCCTAGGCTGTTCTGGACTTTACAGTGATAATCTCCACTGTGTTCTTGTTGTATGTTTTCAATAATGAAGTTTTGTCCTGAAGTTTTATCTGATTCATGCCCCTCCTTGTACCAGATGTAAAGAGCTGCTGGGTTTGCGTCACAGCTACATGTCAGAGTCACTGAGCTGCCCTTCGTAGTTTTGCCAGCAGGAATAATTGAAACAGACAGAGATCGGGGAGCATCTGCAAAACAAAAAAGTAGTTTTTATTGCATACAGTATGTCCAGTTTTATAAACCCTTATATTATTATTATTATTACAAGTGACCTCTCCAGAATTGCATTGCAAATGTTGATTTAGTGATTCGGATTATTTAATGGTCGATATTTTTGTTTAACTGTTATTTTATACTTAAACCGGAATGTAATAATTAATATACAAAAGACGTTTTCTATGTGCTACTGCTCACATTTCACATCAATATTGACTGTAGATGTGTTTTTTCCGAGGTTGTTCCAGGCGCTACAGTAATACCGGCCAGATGCAGATGAGTTGACGTTGTTTAGGTTGAGGTTTTCTCTTAAACTCAGAGGGTTGTTGTCATTTTCCCTGTACCACCTGTAACTAGCTGCTGGGTTTGCATTACTGAGGCAGGTAAGAGTCACTAAGCTTCCCTCCATGATCTCCCCAGGAGTGACTGAAACAACAGGAAGCATTGGAGCGTCTGAGAAAATAAAAAGTGGATATTAAGCAAGCATGAAATCTAAGTATTTCCTGATATAAATGCATGAAGTCCTTACAAGGTAAACTTACAGAGAATGTCCAGAAACAGAGGGGAAGAGGTATAGTGTCCATATTTGTTCTCACATTTGCAAAAGTAGTTTGCTCTGTCCTCAGAGCTGACAGAGTGGAATTGATAAACCTCTCCAGATCCAACAGTAAGCGAATGATTATGCTTGTAGAAAGTGTATTGAGCTGCTGGGTTAGCATCACTTCTACAGGTCAGAGTCACTGGTTTACCCTCCTCCACTTTACCCCGGGGACTCAGTGACACATTGCAGGTCTTTGGTCGGTCTGTGTGAGTAAAGATTGCAATGTTACTTTAAAGAATGAAGGATGTTTCTCATCACATTACAGAATTCAATAAAAATGGAACCAGTCTCCAAGTAAATAAAAGGATATAAGCCTGCTTGACTGTTTAATCCACAAACAAAATACATTCAAACTGGATCAGACAGGTAACTAAAAGACAAACAGACATTTATTTGTTGGGAATCTGTAAAATCAAAAGATAAGGCACTGAAAAAAAAAAAAAAAACCTTTTATCCCTGGTATAAACTTTCTTTTGTGAGTTTGACATAGGGATTGAGAATTAAAAAAAAATCAGTTTTAGTTAACAAAAAGGAAATTTAGGATTCCCATTCAGTCACCACTGATTATTACTTCCATCATGGGGGTCATGTTTCTGCTTCTCTGTCTGCGTACAGGATCATTTTATAATTAATGAACAGACTTGAATGCATTTTTATCAAAGGTGCACATCCGTCCAAGGAACAATTAGTTATTTTGGCACAGATCCA